TAAATGAAAAAGGCAATCCATCTAACAGAGAAATAATCTGAAGAAATCATTCATCTTAGAATATCCACGAAATTAAAGGCTTATTAAATCAGCATCGAATATCTTTGTTCACTAAATGGCTGTACATGTTGGAAATGTTATTGCTTCAGGTAAACTTCATGTACACCTGCTCCTTAACATGACTACCTCATTAACATTACACTACCTTATATAAGATAATATGGATTGACTAATAAGTATCATTATATTTGAATCCAGCATACTGTTCATATACAGTAAAACCCGTGAACAGTGAACACCTAGCTATGAGGCCATAAAAATATGTTCACTATAAGGTAGGTGTTCACTAGAGAGAGGCGACTTATACAGAAGTCAGTGGAGAATGTGCTGAAAAGAGGTGTTCACAAGACAGGTGTTCACTAGAGAGGGGTGTTCACTGAGACAGGTTTTGCTGTATGTATCTTTAATAACTTTGGAGTTAAACCTGTGTATATTGAACATTTTTTTGCGAAGAAAAAACATTCAGTGTTGTTGGGTGTTCACTACAGAGAGTGTTCTTTATACAGAAATCAGTAGAGTATGTGCAGAGGAGAGGTCTCTACTAGAGACAGGTGTTCACTAGATAGAGGTGTTCGCTAAGACAGATTTTACTGTATATAATACAATGTCATGTTCTATATTACTCGAAAAGTATGCAATAATACAATTTAGTAAGTACTATATATGTAATAATTACTTGGAAATATTTTTTGACAGTTTGCCTAAAATTGTAGCCATTTTGAAAGTTGCAGCAACTTTTGTACCTGTACATGTAAGAGAGCATTATTATTGATATTTTATAAATAATTTCAAGTGCTAGCATCATATTTTGATGTGTCTGGTGTGGTAATTTGAGGAATAAAGGCTAGTTGTCATATCTGTGACTTATTAAGTTATCCCATGGGATTTGCTATGACTTGGTGTTGCCGTTATCTATTTTCATACCTTGGAAAGACATCTAATCCATTAGCAGCTTAGTGCTAATGGTCCATTATTTGAGTATGCAGGAACAGGAATAACAAATTTGCTAGAAGATGGATTGCAGATTTACATCCTTTCTTTTTAATTATTAAATTTTAGCAGATTTTCCTTAAAATTTTAGAGTGTGTAAACTACAAATACAACATCAATGTATGTGTAACTTTATACATGTAGATGGAAATGTGGGAATAAAGGTGTCTCATCAATAAAGGCTCAATAATTGGTTCTGATAGGTTTGCATATATTGAAAATCCTTGCTGAAATATCCGTTTATGATATTGGTAAGAAATACAGTAAAACCAGTTTATATGTCATCACTAAAAGTGGTGACATATTGTTATGTCTCCATTTTTTTGTGGCAATGATTGTCGTCTGGTGTTCAGCATTTGTCATCTGTGACAAATGGTAAGTGGTGACATTTTGCGTGTCAATGCCTTGTTAATGACTGTTGCTGATACTTACTATTTCATATTAAGAGATTCAGATAAAATGGATAAAATTGAGTTTCTCACTTTTGTTAAGATGAATATCCTTTATTGCATCTCAAATTTGATACCTTTTACATTAACAATGTGAGGGGAATCATAATACATATACTTCCTGTTCTGTTACACCTTTTAATCAAATAAAGTTCAACAGTTTTGGCTAGGATATTCTCATTGAAGCTAGTAAACATTTCTATCTGTGTCTATTGAGCATATCATTCTGTTGAACACCTCTCTTTAGTGAACACAATGTTCTTGTTAATATCTTCATTTGTGAATATATCCATCATGTAAAACAGATTTCTTTTGCAAATACCTTTATGTAGAGATTGCATCATTAGCAAATACTTTTATCTAGTTAACACATCTACCTGATATGGCATTCACAATTTCAAATCTCTCTCTGTTAATATGTACCTCCCAAGTAAACAATTCTATCTTGCTATCTTCATATCTTCTTGTAAAATAATTTTTGTAAAATAGTTCACTTGTCAAGTAAACACCTCTATTTTCTAAATATCTCTCTCGGGAATACCTTTATCCAGAAAATTTATCTCTCTTTTTAACATCTAGTGAGTATTTCTCTCTAGTGAACTTATCTTACAACAAGGGGTTTCACTGGAGATAATACAGTTAGTTATATTACGATATAGAGCATTAGGGAATCCATTTGTTGTAAATCCAATAAACTATTTATCTTAGGCCTCATGATATTCAAGTACAAATTTCCGTGTAATTTCTATTTGTGAGAATTGTACTAATTAGTGGTTTCCATAGATACTGTTACCATGATATTCTATATGGGAATTCTACCCATATGTTCTAAAAACAAAAGAACATGTCAGTATACCTATGTCTCTCATTTGTAATGTAATATTGTTGCATTAATGTCACCATTGATCTTCCTAGTCTCATACCAACTAAATTTTGAAATAAGGTAACTTGATGACAAAACTCGAAAGGGTAAAAATGACCACTTATCAAGTTGGAAAATTCACTAAAAGAGCGCTTCATCTTTACTTATTGAATTTATAATAAATCTCTGAACTCATCGAGCCAATCAGAGTTTGTTCTTGAAATATGGATGATTTTCTGTATTTGGTCATTTCTTCTGATGTGTCGCATAGTAATTGTTTAGCATACTGCCTCATTTCAACATATTTATTCCACACATGTGGCAAATAGTGCAAAAAATCATATACCCTAAATATCTCAATAAATACTGAATGAATCTGGACAGAATTTTCACAAAAGGAAGATACACTGGCCAGGCTCGTGAAAATGTAGGGTTGATTTATTTTTTTCATAAATAAACACGACGCAGAAACAGATTTTGCTTCAAGATAGCTTTCACTTGTTACTATTAAGAAACATGATTGAGACCACAAACTGTCCTCCCGTTAGCTTTCTGACCATTCTCAAAGGATGATATAATACATCACTGCTATTAGAACAAATGCAGAGCCAGATTCTAGCACCAATTGTCTGTAGAAGAGAAGTCAAAATCAATAGACCGGAGGTTATTTTCCCGTAAATGAGACAGAAGATCGTCCAATATGCTATAAATTGCTTGCAAGTTATTCAATGATCAATCTGTTAATTATTTTCTATTTACAGTTATGTTATTGTTCGTTTTGAAGAATTCTAATAACCAAATATATTAGTCAGTCATATAAGGTCATAGAGAGGGGATGACAGCCTTGTTGAGCGAAATATTTTGGGTTGGTTTACATTAGAAAAAATCTTATTCTGTATCTGTATCTGCATATTTTATAGAATGGCAATAAAGGCTCAGTAGGCACGATTGCTACATGTATCTGAAACAAATGTTTGGTCAAAAAAGTTGAAGTAAACTTTATGATTATTTTTTTTAGTTTAGTTAAATTCCTGGTTATGTCATAATATTGCCATTGATTTGAATCTGATTGCATCCTGTAAACATATTTGTTTTTGTCTATTATTGCCTAATGTTCATGAGCTGAGAAAACAAGCACTGATTGAGTATTTTAAGCTTGCAGATATGACAGGGTTAGAAATGAACAGTGAAAATGGTATCAAATTAACAAAGGTGTGTGGTAACAAGATCTTGCTTCATAGTTATCTGCCATAGTTGTTCAAGATAATATACACAAACATGCAGAAAATAGTCAACATATATATGATACTCGATTTAGTCATTTTAACTCGCTTTATCTGCAGTAAAAAAATTTGGTTCAGCTTTAAGTAGGTTTGAATGTGCAGTGTCTCCCTAAAGCACCAACTCAGAATAACTCAGGTTAAATTTAATGGTCCCAATAGTGTCTATCAGTGTGATGTAATATCACGGTTAATTGAATAATGACACCATTATAGTCAGTCTGTAAAAGCAGAATTGTGGAATTGCATTATAGAAATAATTGAAGAAGGAGAGAGTATGTGGGAGTGATGGGTTAATTAGGATACTGAAGGTGAACTAAAATATATCAGTTTGAAATATTGAAATTAACATTTGTTTATGGCTTCCTGCTTACATATTGGATTTATATATAAGCAAATTCAGTGCAAATCCGAACAGGGCAAAATACACATGTAAAAATATTAATAAGTACCAGTCAAACACTATTATATGGTATATGATCTATATCTAAATCTGCCTATAATTTGACCTCAAGATATTATGGAAAATCTTATGCAATGATAATGCGTATCTGCCAGGTTTTGATTGTATTTTTCACCATAGATTTGATTTAACAACCTTGTTGTCTATGATTTGTATATACATGTAATTTATAGTCTTAACATCAAGGTAACTGTCCATATGTTATCTGAAATAAATTACAGTAAAACCCGTCTGATTGAAAACCTTATAAAAAACTCCTCTCCACGGAACTGCCACCAAGTATTATACCTTTACAATAGTTTAATCTGGCTTTTTTAAAAGAAAGCTTCACCTACCTTAGTACTAGGCTTTATGCCTCAGAGTTCAAGTCTTGTACTTACATGTTAATGAACCTGAAGAACACTTATGAACAATTCAATTTTAGCCAGTATGTGGGAGATGGGGGGGGGGGGGGGGGTGGTGTTCCATATGTACAGGTTTCACTGTTCCACAGTCAGTTTCACTAATAGGCAGAGTTGAAATAAGGTCAGGTTCTATAACAGGCAGTGTAGGTATTTGTTCAGCAAGGCCTCATCTCATTTATTCCTAATTGTTTGCAGATAATCTTGTTCTGGTTTCTATCTGATTTAGCCTACTAAAATACAGTGGTTGAATTGTAGGCACAGACTTCCACAGTTTGAAATATTCCTTTGACCCCTATTGTTTGTTCATCTAGTGTCAAAACAAAACATAATAGGAAACGTATTGCATTTCAGTGATTGTTTCAGAATGTGAGGGAGTACATTGCCTCCTTTGGAACAGTAGGCCCTTAGAAATCAATGTTTGTTAAACATGCTCATCACAAAATAATTCATTCTTTCTCCTATCATAACATGATTCTGCCATTTTATTTTCAGCATCGACAAGGTTCCAAAGATAACATCACCAGTCTTGGTGATCCATGGTACAGAAGATGAAGTTATAGACTTCTCTCATGGTCTCGCAATCTATGAGAAATGCCCACGGACAGTCGAGCCATTGTGGGTTGAAGGGGCGGGGCATAATGATGTTGAACTTTATGGACAATACCTAGAACGCCTGAAGGGATTCCTTACTGGAGACCTGACTTCATAACAAACATGGAACATAGGAGAATCTTATTCATATAGGATCTGCATTGAAAGCTTGCGATCTGCTAGATCAAGGAGAGAATCAATACATGTATTTAGAATATTTTTACAAATCCTGAGTCCTAACAGTATGTTAGGTTCTACCAAGTTAGAGCTCACAAGGGACAGATCAAATCTTAAAGTGTGATGGATTTAATGGCAACTCCACATTCAGAATTACTTTATTTATAAACAGTGTGGATTTTCTGTACCTCATGTAAATATACCAAATTTTAGATGTACAGTGAAACCTGCAAAGTGGATCACTTCTAGAAGTGGAACAGCTCTCTTAGTAGAACAGAGTTCTTAGACCAACTGACTTTGTTTAAAAACAAACCTCTATAAGTGAACACCTCCCAAGTGGAACACTTTTAAGGACACCAAAAGTGTTCCACTTAGACAGGTTTTACTGTATTTCATAAAGAATTATGTGAGAAATATAGAACATTGCCATGGCAATATCTACTCTTTTGAGAGTGGTGAATAAGTTTGTCTCACACTCTTAAGATTGGTAATAAACCATTGAACTCCTGAGCCAATCAGAGGTGGTCATTGCTCAGTCATGATTTTCCATGTTCCATTGATTATTTTGTGGAGCTCTCTGATTGGTTTAACCCTCATCCTTTTCTATCAAAATGGCAGAAAAGTGCAATTTTGTCCAACAAAATCAAAATCAATTTTCATTACTTAAGTGTTTTGAAAGTTTTGTCCATTAAAAAAGTTCATTTCCAACCTACTGTTCTTTCACTTTCACTATGAGGTAACTTTTAATCAAATTATCCATGACGATTTTTCTGATTATCTTTGTGGAGATTTATTTATTATTTTGGTCAGTTTCTTTGAATCCCCCAATACCCGAGTAATTCATATTTTTTACTGCATTTAATGAAGTTTTTAGTTAAACAAGTTTTTCAAATATATTTAGAAGGTTTTATCAAAGGCCAATAAGGAGGATGAGGGTTAAAACCAAACTGTAAAATCACTGATCATACTCAGAGGGTAGATTTCTTGTACTAGCCATGCTCAGGGTAGGTGGGATCTTAGACTAAGGGTGTCTCTTAGGTGTAATAAATAAAACAATCTTACAAGGAATATTTTCATTAATCTCCTTGAATGTATAATGTAATACAAATCACATGAAGCAATATGCTTGGAGTCATGCATTCTTCGCTACATGTATCTTGATTTTATCTACATAAACTTTATTTTATATTATCAAGAACAGTGCATCTACCATACCTAGCAACTCATTTTGACCAAAGTGGAGTCAGTATGACAAAGTTCATTTCAAGTTTATGTATTTTTTCAATTATGACTTGTTTCAAGTACAACACCAGTTGGTCTAATATTTGTTAAATAAGTGACCAGGACTTGAGATATATTGATGTTTGACCACAAATGTAATTTTTGTAGTATGAGGATGAAATGAAAGTCCATTATGTTTCATTAGCATACATTGGAATTAAAAGGAATCTACTTTTGACCTGATAAAAAGGTGCATTATTTTCTGGGGAAGGGAGGTATCACCTCTGAAATATAACTCATTATGTGTTGACCCTGCGCACAGACGAGTTATGAAGATGAAGCTCTCTTTTAAGAAGTGAAGTTGAACAAGTGCAAAGGGTATTATGTGTTTGCATAGCATTGAAATATTTTCCTGGTCTCTTATGTGATGGCAAGCACATCCTCTGAGTAAAAACATTGCAATTTGGTGTTTTTCTTAGGGTCCCATTGTGACCTGCTTGCATTTTCAGAATAATGGCATGTATATTGCATGTTGAAGTTATGAGAGCCTGGGGTATGAAACAGTTTGAATATACTGACAAGAAGGCATTCTCATGGAGAATAATTTTATGGAACATAGCCTTATTTGTTTTATCTTGGATTAATTTTATTGAAAGAGTCATATGTGAAGAAATACAAAGGATCACTTTTGTATTTAATAGTTTTCTCATTGAGACCAGTATGGTCCTTTTGTAGCCACATTAAAGTGCTATGTCAGCCATTCCTATTTATTGCCAAAGATGGGACATATTTTAGAGGGTTGATTTCATATTGATATTCTCATTAGTATGTGTTCACTGTCTCTGGAAACTAAGTATTGGTATTTTACGATCTCTTAGCATTCGTTCAGTGCAATCGTGCCTTAAGGTACACAATGAACGAAATGATTTTGAGAACTTTGGGTACTTCAGCAAAGTTACACTTGAGTAAATGTGCTACAGGGTTTATAGCTTCCTGGAAGTAATATCTCACATAAGATAAGACAACTTACTGCGTCCAAACCAATCATAGTTGAATTAGTTCATCATAGTTGATCTCACTTCATTGAATACATTTAATAGTGATCACACCAACACTTTGTGATGACAGTAACTGAAGCTCTTAGCCCCGTAGCCAGGTGGGAGGGGGGGGGGTGTCGAGGGGTGCAGATATTCTTGAAAAGTGAACTCCCCTTGGTAAAATCTGGCTTCGGTCCTAACTCTGTAGCACGTTTTAATCTAATGTTTTGTAATCACGGACTGATTATGGGTAAAGATACCAATAACGATATGCTCCTTAATAATTTAAGGCGTTATCTCAAATTTCACAATAAATTTTACACAGTCAATTATTTGCTAGACTACCCACCTACCCTTGTTAATGAAGTTGTTTTTGTGTAAAGTACAAATTCAGGCTTTGAATGAACTGAACAAACTATGAGCGAAATTACCTTGCGTCCATTGTTTGAAGGTATAACACGCCCATAACTAACACTGTCTCATACTGTGGAGATGATACTGCATTAAGTTATGACTATTAGTTACTAATAGTAGTTTTATTTTCAAGATTTTACATTTATTTCTGAAAACAAGTTTAAAACTTTTGCAATATCAATCCATATGGTCCCCGGGAACAGGTTATTGATGTGTTTCAGTGTTAATTAATAGAGCACAAAGCTCTTTGCAATATATATTGTAAATAAATGGATTTTGCAATGTAAAATTATTTCAACAAATGGTAGTAATGTACTGTAGAAGCATGCGTGCCTAGTTTATAATTTGTATATATTTTGATTCATTCATTGTTGTCCAATTTTTGTTTGATTTCACCATTTTGATAAGTGAGCATATTTGGTACTTTTATGCATTTGGATGTGCTAAAGCCTGATTGAAAGCAATGATGTAAATGATTTACTCTCTCTTTCTAAGAAACATGGACCCCAAGAATGCACAATATTGAAAGATGAATATTTCTCGCAATTAGGCGATATCATTTGACAGAATATGTTTTCTGCTCAAAAAAAGACAAACAAACTTTTTTGCCTGAGTTTTGAACTCTTTAATGTACAATGTATGGTCCATATATTGCAATTTTTACTGACAACGTTCCAAAACATGAAATGTAAAATTGACCATTGAATGATGTGCAGTTTTCCGATTAGACAAAAAATTGTGACTATCTTCACCAGTACATACGTACCATGAGCCAAGTATTTGTTTAATGGGTCATATTAAAAGAAAGGCAAAGCTTTTTATTACAGCTGCAATGTATATACATGTGCAAGACAATGGATGCTTTAAACATGTCAGGATAACCTTTCCCATAATGCATTACATTGTATATTGAACTAATGCATGATGGGATGTGTTATTCTGTGTTAAGCTCACAGTTCACTGTTACCATGACAAACTTAATGAAATAATATAACAAAACAGTTGTATTTTTGTAAATATTTATATAAAAAGTGTATAACTACAGCATGTGGATAAACTCAATCATTGCTCTTAAATAAGGAAATATCTTTGAATGGATCAAAACATTGATTTTATCATCAATAGAATTATTTAAAGCATTTTTTATTATTGTCTTGATTATGTAGGTATTATTAACAGGAATTTAGAATGTTTTTGAATATTTATCGTTGCAGATCTAATATGATCTATTGAACAATGTCATGAAGAAAAACAGCAACTACTGAAATAACAAGTCCCACTGAACAAAATGTTTATCAAATTACTTTTTATTTTAAACTTTACAAAATAGAAATAACCAATGCCATGACTTGACACCATATCATAAATTCTTTTTGAAGTAGAGGTTCTATTTCCACAATGCATTAGCCCAGAAAATTTGGAGCAAATTAGATAACTGGTATTTATGTAAGCATAAGAAATTAATCTGAAAAATTGCTGCAGTTTTGAATTCAGCAGCCATCTGGAAAATATCTTCTTAAGCAGAGTTGTATGGCTGTTATGTGTGATGAAGGGATCAGTAGTAGGATCAAAGCAAAATCTGACAACCATTATTTGTGTTTTGAACAATTGTATCTTTATGAAAAAAGGCAGTCTTTTTGACTTAAGTCATCTTGAAGACTCTATAGGTTCCATATCCTTAAGGCACCATGATATTAAAGAAGCAATTCAGGCAACTGATATTTGTGGAATCAAAGATTTCATTTTATTTCATGAAGTATGACACATATTTTGAATTAAGCAGCTATATTGAAAATTCCTTCTGGAACAGAGGTCCTATGGTATTTCAGTTATTGCCCAAACAGAAGAATGAATTAACACACAGACTGATTCTTTATATTCCTCCTATACTTTGTTCGGTGGGATAATTAGTGAATGAGTACAGGAATACAGTTAAAAGGGAATACAGTAAAACAAGTTTTTGTGAATGCTGTTGGGACCAAATAAAAATGTTTAAAATATCCACCTAATATGAGTTTCTGATAAAAAAAGGTAGAGGTCAATATCTCAAAATGGAGTGCAAAAAATGAGATGATAGCATATCTTCCTGTATTTTTATGTCATGAACATATGAGGTCTATGCAACATTTATGGACAAAGGGGGAATATGAGTACAGTGATTCTAGCATTATACTTCAAATTTGGTAATTATGTGAACATGAGAGGTGTTCACTAAGACATGTTTTACTGTATTCTATTTTCATTAAACCTCATAGCTGATGTTTTACAACACTGTTTCAAATACTACACAAGATTAGGTTTTAATTTTTTTTTCTATTTTTATCAATATATTATGTCCAAGTTAAGCCACAAAGCACATTGTCATTTGTTTGTATCATATTTCCTATTTGTTGTACAGTATATAAACCGCTTATTCACTAAAAATAGACTATAAAAATGCATGTTAAATACTATACATAAATATTCTGAGTTTTGTTCTTTCTTTGTGACCACAAAGGGGTGTAGTAGAGATAGATATGTATTGCCATACCTCCTGCCGTTTAGTGTCTTACAAATATGTAACAATTTGAACAAAAGTGGCAGCAAAAAAGAATAGAGATATCTGACCAAAGGAGTGGTATCGATATGGAGAACTTTTTGAATACACGTTTCTCTTAAACCAGTCATAAAAAATCTAAAAATTTAACACATCGTCAATTTAATGGTCATCTTTTGAATGGTAACAATATAATTTGAAAAATATATATATACTTTCATCTATATTGTTTTAGAAAACACATCAAACACTTGTTTTGTTCTTTGTATCATGTTTCCAGAGTGAAATGAAACATCTTTCCGAACCTCATTGGAACAAAACGACATAAACACAACATGTTTAGGTCTCTCAATATTGTAATTGTACAAAGGAAATTTTGGTTGATTTTAAAAAAGTATCTTGTTAATGAAATAAAAGGTTTATCTTGATTTTTATCTATTTTGGGGGGATTTTGTTTTAATTTTTTGAATACTTTTTTAAAATCAACCAAAAATTCCTTTGTTTAACTATAATATTGAGAGGTCTAAAAACATGTTGTATATGCTATTTTGTTCCAACAAGGTTCGGAAAGACATTTTATTTCATTCTCAAGAATTGGTAGAAAGGAGCAAAAACAATTGCACTAAAAAACAAAAAAATGTTAACAAAAAAACAGTTATATCAAATATTTCTAAATATTTTAGCATTCAATTGTTGTCAATCAGTGTTTTTTTACAGAATGTTTTCAATGATTGGTTTAAGAGAAAAACATTGTTGATTTCAGTTCTCCATATCGATACCACTCCTTTGGATATTATTTAAGATGCAGAAATGTCAAATGGTCTTGAAATGTTGCCCTCAACTCATCTCTATTCTTTTAAAGGGAGACTGCATACTTTTCAGTGTTCATAAGCTAAGTAAAAACTTATATTTCATTGTCCCAGTTGTTCATGATATGGATACTCGAACTTTCATTTGATACCAATGATAAATCATAAAATATTCTCATATCTGTCAAAATTTTATCATTTTTTAATCATTTCCAACACCAGATGGTGAAGATATAGGTCTTCATGTAAGCCATCATAAAGTACTGTAGAATGGGTTAATTTGGCAGTTTTGACATTGTTGCCATATTGGCGGCCATTTAATTTGGCGAACTCCAGGGCTTGGACATTGCTCTGATGTCACAGCTTCCATATAAACTATTCCTTTAATTCAACTACTATATCTGGTAATCTATTAAGGAAGCGACTCCCCTGAGCCAATTTGGAAGTGACATGTTCTGATTATTACCCTTATCATTTTCAGATTTTGTAAAAACCAAAACATAAGTGACTTTTAAAACACACTATACAAATTTCCTGGGGATCCTTTTTAAATTTTGGCGCAGATGTAAATTGGTGATTTTCGCCAAATTAAAGCAGGTGCCAAATTAACCCAGTCTACAGTACCTAGAAAGTATTGACTAAACAGATATTATTATAGACATAAAGGTAAAGTCCACTCCAGTTGCATCTTGTGATTGTGTCCTAAGCTGAACACTCGTCAATTCAGGGGAAATACATTAATTTTCAAATGCATGAAGTCAAATTATCTGTACATATACATATTTAAAAATTAAAACCTAGCAAACATCGTCATCTTTTTTTGTGTTGAATAAATTAAGATTAGTTGAAAAGTGAAAAATTATAATTAACTTACACACGCAGAAAAGTAGCTCTGAGCAAAGATTTTTTACCAATAATACAGAAATAAACAAAATAAATAGTTCTTTTAAAATTAGGCCAACAATATTTCAATTGGACCTGTAAACCCAAAATCTGGCTAATCTGACATCTCCCAATCTGAACACTTTTCAGTCCAATTTTTTCTAGCAATTGACTCCCATGAAATGTGAACACCTCCCAGGATGAACAGAGAACAGTCATACTTGAAATATTAACCTGTCTAATCTGAACACTTTTTAACAAATATCACACATGTTGCTCACAAAATTGCTCAAATATCATCATCTTTCTAACATGACTAATTTCATTTCAATTAGATTTTCAGATAATAATACTGCCATAAAGCTATGTGATCAATAGAACTATAAACATTTACTGAAAATGTGTTCATATCTCCTCAAAATGCAGAATCTCCCGAATGCAAAAACCTTGAAAAGTGAAGACCTCCTAATTAGTACACTAAATAGCATAATTTAGAGTCCTTAAAATTTATCTATGAAATACAAATATTAAAGATGTTTTTGCTTATCTAACAACAAATAAAGCAGGTTTGTTTTTCGAGCCTCAAATCATGACTTCTTACTACTTCGCTGTAAATGTATATATTAATTGTACACATTGTTCCCAATAAGTTGGTTGGTTCACTGTCTTGGCACATCTTTGTTGATTCATCATACTAAGACAGACGTGACACAATCTCTTGTATTACATACCTAGCGAAGCATTTGTATGGAAGTCAATGGGAAAGTTAGCGAGCTATATCCACCGATATTGCCCGATTACCCCGATATAGCCCGCTTACCTCGTTTTGATATTAGATTTCTTTAATAACCATGATAATATCATGACGTCACGTCATTGATACAAAGTAACCATGGGAACAAAGGCATGTAATACATCAGTTATGTCACTATGACGTGAAATATGCCTTCGTTCTTGCCCAAATATAGAGCCTCCCAAGGTCGGCCTATATTGGGAGAACTCAGGCATATTTCACGTCATAGTGACATAACCTCTAAATATTGCATATAGCTATTTATAATTCAATATCTGCCATCTCTGTCATTCTTGTCATAACTACGACTTCGCTCCCTTTTCCTTTTCTTCTTGTGACATTCCCTACTTCTCTCTCTACTTCTATGACGCCTATGTTCTCTGTCACGGCTTTTACTCCTATGTCTCTCACGATAACTTCTATCTCTGCTTCTTGATCGTCTAGAAGAACCCTCAGTTTTAGGCTCTTGCTTTACTTCAGTCTGATTTTGAGCTAATATTGGTGCTTTAAATGGTCGAACTTTGCCACCAAAACGTAATTGACCAGATTCTTTGTTACCACCAAATCCTCCACCAAGTCTTCTTGGTACCCAACCTTTCATGTTCCTCTCGTGTTCAAACTCAGTGATAATCTCATGATTATCTAAAAGACTTTTATGTGCATGTTTCTGAGCCATATTTGCATCTTTTGCATCGTTATATTCGACAAAAGCATAACATTTTGAGAATTGAGTCACAATGTCTCTTACTAGACGTAAGTGTTTGATGTCTCCGTAACTGGAGAAGAAGGCTCTGAGTGAGATTTCATCTGTGTCAGGATTGAGCCTGAAAAATAACAAATATTGACATGTATTTGTTATTCGAACATGACAAGTGATGTCCCCAGCATTAAAGCAAGTGGGCGCAGCACCCAACTGAGATTTTGAAAATCAGCTTGCACCCACCTGAAAATCCATTTGCACCCACTTGAAAATGAGAAAAATCATGAAAAATTGGCATGTTTTGACCAATTTTGAGCTGCATTGTGAAAATGAGAATTTGCATCCACCTGAGAAAAAATGCTGTGGAGATAACTGATGACTGTATTCACCCCTTCTTTAAAATGTAAAGAAAGTCAATATTTCACCTGGTATTTATTTGTTGAATCTGTTGGCGAATGATTTTAATATTTTAATTAGCAAGATCACTCATATTGACATTTACTCCTATGCTGATCAAGTGCCTCACTGCAGGGGTGTAGCCAGGAACTAAGAAAATATAACCCATCGGTGCCTGGCTGCACCCATGACACTGTCAATGTATTTCTTACCTCCCTACGAATATGGTATGATCTGGTTCACCCTTCACTTGAAGGTTGGGCTTATATTTTGCTCTAATGGCCCGTGTTATACCATTATCATGTGGTATTTCATCTGTGCCATCTATACTACCAATCTTTAGAGGATCATAGACTGTAGCCAGATTCCATGCATCCATTGTGGCTCTAGATGCTATACGTTTCCTGATGAGATAACAGCTTGTTGAAACATTGACCTATAAAACTGGAGAGGAAAGAAAGGAAAATTAATATTAAGCCAAAGATGCCAGATTTGTTGAGGTTGGGCCCATGGGATGAAGGATTATTATTTACATTTCCATCAAACAAAAAAGGGTGTTTTGGAAGACAACGGGGCGTTTTGGTCAATTTCGAACAGTTGCGTACGACTTTTCAGAATACCTGCGTTTAATGTAATAAATATGTTGATGCAGTGATGGACGGTTGTAATGGGTGTCCTTGCACAGAATATGGGGGAGAGTGATAGAAGAACTGGCAAGATTTTGAGGCTTTTGGTTGAAATCTCTGAAAATTTGCATCTTCTCACATCTGGGGACCAAAATGCCGCTTAAACGAGGGACTCTGTACACAAAAGTAATGTCTCGACTGAAAGGTATCTCTGTAAAGGTTTTAATGGGACAAGTTTGAAGAAAAACAGTGAAGTTTTAGACTCACAATCATTGATTTTCCAAAGACAGGGTAGGTTTGAAATTCAAATTAATGGTTTTGCGGGGCATTTTGGTTTCGATACGCCCCAAAAAGTCAAATAATGGAAGCATGAAGACATTTACGGACCTTACATGAAAGATCCAAACCTAATTTTTATCCATTGTGGTGTAACGGAGATTGTGAATTTCACCAGTATATTGACAAATGTTTGGAAGGACTTTGAAAGTAAACGTCATATCATATCAATATTGTGGTGTAGAAAGCCCATGCTTCGGCAAATGGGGTAACTTTGACACCTAGCTGTTAATTTGTTCTAATTTCTGATGTAGAGGGAAGTTTTTTTTGTCTCGCACGGATCGAGCTCTTGCGAGAATATAATTTTTCCAGAAATAAAACATGGCGGGAAATGGAATTCTAAATTATAATAAGAATGTGTTGAAGTTACCCCATTTGTTATGTCGACATTCCCCCACATGTCGACCTTACATCCCTTTGCCTTAATCGTGGTTAATAAGGAAATAATCCACAATCATTTGTCCTGGCCTCCTCATCAATCAATTATCACCTAGTATAGGCCCCTATATAAATACGAAGTGTCTGTAGTACCTTAAAATTTAAGGCTCTTTAGCCAAAATGCTAAAGAGCCTTAAAATTTAAGGCTATTTAGCTGTGAACATAGTGTTTTGGCTAGAGAGCCTTTGTGTTTATAATCCGTGTTTATATTGTTTTTTATTGAAGTTTTCGTCATCTAAACAATAAAACAACACTCTCGAAAGTTTTTCAACCCAGAATGCCACTTAGAAATTCCACACATGTATATCACTAAAGAGTTGCAAAAATTTACTCTAATCATGGAAAAACACTCTGGTATAGTGGTGAGGGTGCTCGCTATCCACTTCTGCGGCGTGGGTTCGATTCCCGGACGGAGCACTTTTTATTTTAATAACAAGCCGGAAGTTTGTTCTCTGAGGTCCGGAAATTATGTACACAATTTTTTCTAGAATTCTTGAGCTTGCTCCATCGCTCAATCATCAATGTTTAATGATATTAATCACTTGTATTGGTTTTGCTATAGTCAAGAGAATACAGGGAATCCCATTTTATGATGGCAAAAAGTATGATGAAGACCTGGGGATGAAAAAGGATCTTGTTTCTGTCTAGATCAGCACATCTTGACGCAGTTTATCGTGAATGCAGGGACATCATGCCAGGGACATCACAGAATTCACTTCCAAATCTATTGCCCATTAGATTTCAATGCTGATTTTAGAATTTTTCACGTGACGAGATACATGTATTTTTGCATAATATTTGCCTCACAAGTGAGAATTTAAGCACATCGATGAGAGAGCCCAAAGAAAATTTACAGTACAAGAGGTGAACTGTCGAGGAAACACCAGGAGAAAACAGCATTTTTATCCTAGCCTCCAATCCATCAATAAATGTCTATACATCAAAATCTTTACTAAACGGACGTTGCGATATATAGTGGATAAAATAGTAAAAAATAACATTTTTCTGGCTATATACGTGATTGCCTGGTCTTACACCTTCTCTGGTGAACCAGGTCCGTAACGGACCGTCCGTTCATAATCGATGTTTGAACCTTAAAAAAGCCAAATTTAGACTGAGGATTGAAAAGCTTCTTTTATTTCTCTCGGTAGACCGGAAGTAAATTCATGAATCGAGCAAAAAGTGACAATGCTGATTTCAATGCTGTTTTTAGGATTTTCCATCTGACAAGATATTTTTTCAAAACTTTTTGCAAAAACTTCCGCTCAAAAGTCTGTTATGTATCAACGATTTTAGGCTAGCATCAAAGTCATCAATAAATGTGACTCTCAGACATTTTTACGTGATTGCCTGGTCTTACACCTTCTATGGTGACCCTTTTTTCGATATATGCATAAAGGTCCATTCAAAGTCAACGTTTGAACCTTTAAAAAGCCAAATTTAGACTGAGGATTGAAAAGGTTTTAGAACGTTTATTTTTCCCGGTAGACCGGAAGTAAATTTATGAGTCGAGTAAAAAGTGATAATGTTCTGTTTATGAAGTGGGGAAGTCAAAACAGTACTAATAGAAGTCATAGTAATTAGTAAGCATTCAAAGATTATTTAAAACCATTTAAAATTAAATTGACGGCAAAATTGAATTGACTGAAATCTTAATTTTCTTCTTCATCTTCTTTGCGGACCTCAGAGAAGACACTTCCGGTTTAATAATCAGTGATTTTATCGATCAAAAAATATTTCTTTTTGAATTTGTCCGATATCTGCTAGTATGGTATGTATATTTGTGCTGATTTGTTAAATTACAAAATAGGTTGGGTATAGAATATGTCAAACACGTTCGATCTTGTCCCAGAAGCAATATTTCGTCATTTCTGTCGCCTGGAATTCCTTTAAGGCTCTCTAGCAGAATTGGCTATCAAAATGCTAAAGAACCTTAAAATTTAAGGCTCTTTAGCCAAAATGCTAAAGAACCTTAAAATTTAAGGCTCTTTAGCATTTTGGCTAGAGAGCCTTAAATTTTAAGGCTCTCCAGGCGCGGCCATATAAATATAATCGAACAATACGTGCTGCACAGCAATATTCTATTATATGAAATGAATAAGGACAATACATACCATTCGTGCCGATATATCTATCCAGTTATCACATTGTATTCTGATATGCAAACTGAATTATAACATAATCAAGAGAATATCTCTTACTTTCTAAAAAATCCATCCGGGTTTGACAAAAAGAGCATATAGTTACAATCACGAAATTCGCATCAGGTTTTGAAAACTTGACAATAGTTAGTATATTTGCTGCTAGGAGTCCATTATAAATCTTCATTTATAATATTTATATTATAGATAGTAGCAGACAACTCTATCAATTGGTTTTAAGAGAAATTAGCCAATCTTTTAATATCGTGATACGCTCGTCGTCGTCACCCAACTCTGCCCGGTAAGATTTTTAAAATCCTAAATGTGTAGCCTATATAGCTTCTAAATGTACTTATACGTTATGATATAACTGAGTTATATCTAGCTAATGTTTTCGAAATAATTGTTATATATTTGTACGAATATGGATGGTTATTTACCATTGTAAAAGCACGAAATGGTAATAATGAATCAATTATCGCCCACAGTATGGGTCGAATCACTTTTGTGCGCCAATCAAACCTAAAGAATAAGCAATCAAAGGACTAAAGTGCAATTTATATGGAAAAATACTTTATATGTTAGATGAAAAACGATTGTTTATCTTGCATTGTTTGTAATTAGGCTAACAACACGACACGTAATAACCTCTTATAGAGTCAATACGTCTATTTCCAAACACCCCCATCAAAAAATGTAGTTAGCTTGGCTGTACTGCACATCTGTAGAATAATTTTATATATGTTATGTGAATTAGATGCTGTAAAATGTATTTGCAGAAAAAAATTCCGATAAATTGTCAAAAAATCTGGGTTATACCACTTAACTAGAGTCCATTTCACTGCTTCATTTCGTCAGCAGAACGGCAAAAATAAGAAATTGGGAGACCATTGTGCAATAATATATGGAAAAATATATTCATAATGTACATGAATGACATTTGTATATTTCAGATCTTTTAGTTTTTTGTGCAATAAGCCTGTGCCGTCTTGTAATTTGAAGAATTTCAGCCATGTTAATCTTATTGAAAATAACATGGCAGAGAAACATCCAAATATAAGAGGCCACACACTTTATAAGCCAAACTAGAAGCAATCCAAGATATGCAAATGTCATTCATGTACATTATGAATACACTTTTCCATATATTATTGCACAATGGTCTCCCAATTTCTTATTTTTGCCGTTCTACTGACGAAATGAAGCAGTGAAATGGACTCTACAATATATTTTATGGGGGTAAATCCAAACAGGAGATTTTTTGGGGGTAATTCCGAACACTAGCATGGGGGTAATTCCAAACACTTAACTAAACTTAATTGATTTACAAGTGACATCTATTTAGGGTTTGTGGGGGTAATTCCAAACACTAGCATGGGGGTAATTCCGAACACCTCAATCATCATAATTGATTATTTTATCGTTAGAGTGTTGGTATATATCATTATATGGTATCTTTCAGGATATAAATATTATATAGAGGTAGTAGAGGTACTATTATTCAATTCAATGTTTTGCTTGCCATTGTTTGCAACCTGTTCGGGTTAACCCCCCTGTTTGATTTTTTTCTACTTTGATGTGTCTCAAAAATGTAAAAAACATGGTTGATACTCTAAGTAAATTACAAAAGGTCATGGGTTTACTGCACTTAAAACCATGGGCTTTCAAAAGATCTGAAATAGGAATGTAATATTTTTCCGTCTAATATCCATCCATGGGCTTTTAAGAGAAAAACCCATGATCCACAGTGCGTGAAATAAGGATTTTTTAACCTAGACATTTTGGCAGGCCAGCCAGATTTTAACAATCCACATCGTTTTTTCTCAGGCCATTTTTTGGCAGGCTGTTTCTTACTTCTCAGGCTAAAAATTTCATCTACCATATTTCTCCACAACCACTCTAAAATGGGATTTAGTTTAGTACAATATTAACAAAGATAAAACTAATTCCATTGCATGTCATGTATCATTCACTATACTGATGACTTAACCAACAGCCTGGGTGTGTTGATTTCCCCCTAGATTCACCTTACAAAAACATGAGGAACATGTACATATTGATCAAACTAAATTGTACTGATTTTGGTCGGTTTAGAATTGCTCAGAACTCAGAAGCTTCAAGGTATTCAAAAACACATACCAAGGCTCTCACCAGGAAATATTTAGGGTGTGGTGCTAACATCTTCAGAATAACCGTTCAATCGTGATACATCATATTATGTTATGTTTTATCCTTTTTAAATGCTTTTCATTGTGTATTCAGTCAAGCTTAGACTGTGGAAACAGTCATGATTTGCCAATAGGGTGTGGAGGGAGCTAAATAGAGTGTGATGCTGCGCCACAGTCTAAAAGCCTGGCGAGAGCCCTGCATACTATGTACACAGACTCCACTAAAATTCAAGGCATATATTAGAGGTGTCACGGTCGGCGCAGTATGGAACAGTACAAATGGTCTCAGGACAAGCAAGCCATCTATAATTTTGTCAGGCCAATGGCCGATGTAGGACGTCTATTTAGCGCACTGAGATTCCATCTTATAGGCTGTACAATAGAAGCACATGTAATATATCAAGTCAAAAAATATGACCCTTAAAGTTCCGGCTGTCTCAAATTGCAGAGGTATCAATTTTTAAATCGACCAATATATCAAAATTACCGCTATGGACATCCAGAAGTAATTCCCTGTGACTCAAAAGAAGTGAGTAGCTCTCATAAGTTCTTGCCATTTTGTGACACTTATTTATATATTATGCACATCAGAACGATACACTATGATATCCAATCAATTTGCATGATTCCGGCCGTTCAACAGTCCTGCAATTTGCGTATTTCAGCCATTTTCCGTTAAGCGTGAAAAATGGTGTAACTGCTCTTCCTAATGATGTTAATCAAAATATATGCACTTTTTATGGTATAAATGACATTTTTTGTCAAAATTTGTGAAATGGCAGTACAATTAGATACGTATTACATATGCACCATATTGTTTTTGTTTTACTGACTGAGAGGTATCTGAAATATGTGGGGGTACCGAAAATGGCCTTTCACCGAAGTGATAAGTGAACATAGAGTTGCTGTTCATTGTACACAAATGGCATAAAGCCGCTATGTAACATATTATTACGTATCTTCGGTATATCTACTTTCATAAAAAATACCTAACCTAATGATCCATCTTTTAATCTTTAAAAAATTTAACTTTGAATTCTGTCACTCAGTTGTATCTAATTTACGAACCAACCTGGTCTCGTATGTAAGCTTCTTATCAACAAGTTATTGATTGCAAACTAATCACATATTGATACCTGATCCAACAAACAAGGCTTTTTTATGACTAAGGGTCCATGTAATCAGAAATTCTAGTCCAACTTATGGATTCTAGAATGGAAATTTTGGCCCTAATTAGATTCCATACAGGCTGCCATTTTAAAAGAACATGCAGACGTATTATGACAAATCTAATACAACAGATATTTAGGCACGGTGGGTGCAAAGGCCACGCCCCTCTTTGGAATATCTTAATAAGTGGTAAATGCATTTTAGATTGTTATTTTCTTGTTTCTCAACTAATTTTGACTTAATTGGTACCAAAAGAAGCGGAATAAAAGTATCTTTACTCTCATGCATTAATTTTGTTAATCATTTTATTTGCATATCAAGAAATTTGTTATATTCGCAACATATCTATTTCACATAAATTCCTCATTTTCCGTATATTAGGGCGGGTCAAGAAAATGTTGCCTGATGTGGAATTTTCATATCAAAGTAACGGGTATATCTGCTTGAAAACACATATCATCTGTGTTTTTAGGACTATACTGTACTTCAAGAGGCTGTATATCAAAGTTGAGAAAATGTGCATTTTAGTTTATTTTGAGATCTCTATAAAGTATGAAATTATTTTAGTTCCTTTCAGCTACAAATAGCAACAGCAACGTCTTATAGGCATGATGAACTCATTTGTATCATAAGACATTTTATGTCAGTCTCAAATGCTATGTAGGTCTCATATTTCCAGTTTTTTAACTAACTTTTCAAAAAATAATTTTTGGATAACATATGAATAAGAATAAGCCTAACATGGAATACAAATGGAGTTCTAAAATCCATTGTTCAGAAAGTTCATGAAAATAAGGATGATGACCATTTGAGGAAGAGTGGGCTAGGAGATACAGTGGCATCCTTTGGATTTTTATTTAGGATGTTTTGTTTGGTTGAGTTCACTTCAGGTGTTTTGTTCAGGTTTTTAATTAAACAAATCTACCATTTCAAGATGATCTAATTTTTTTTACTTTACTCTACTTATATCACATGACCAAAAACGTACAACAGTGCTCCTGTTTTTATTTAAAAGTTATGTGAATACTGATCACATGTGATATTTGTGCTAAAGCCAACTGCACAACAGTTTTACTGTAAATTAACACAACAATCATATGGAAGCATTTAATCTTATTTTTATTAATTCTGTCAATGCCTCATGCTAATTCTGTCAGTGCCTCATGCTGTTACTTTTTTCCAAGATCCTCTTGACATGTACACCTTTGTGTCTCAAGACATTGGCAATACAAGTCATCTTCATATGAACATCTCCCCTGATAGTAGACGGTCCCATCTTTCCCGACTTTCCCACAGTTCTGGCCCTCTCTTAATCTCACTGCATTTTCTCCAACTTGAGAAGGCTACAGGAAGAATGTTATATACATGTATTTTCATTATTTTTACTTTTATTGATATATGTACATCATATCATGGGATTGACTATACTAAACTGTTGTTATATAATAATCAATTGGAACTCCGTGTAATGTTATTACATTATCAGTAAATAAATTATATCCACAACGTTCAAACTATTTTTAATGCTTTTAACATGTATTTATTATACATGTATATCTTCTAGACAAGTGCTAGCTGGATATGGAGAGATTTACATTTAATTGTTTTCAATTAAACTTAACATAGACAGTGGATATACCATGTGCTAGAGAAGACATATTAATTTGATAATGTCAATAGCAAAAGCCACATGTGAACTGTTGCTTAAAATTTACTTCAATTTTTGGATTACTGTATATTTTTTCTAAAATATCTTACCCTTCCGCATTCGACACAAGCCAGTGTCAAAGTAATAGCAATAGCTACCAGGAGGAAATATCTGTTCATCTTGAATTCTGCAATTAAACAACATTTTTGTGTTTTGTTTTTATGTTACCCACTGGTATATGTGAACCTCTATACTGTTCCTTAGACTTTATTGGTGTTTGTTGTATGGAGTTGCCACATTGTTTAACATATAAAGTCAATATAGTTCACTTCACTCTGTAAAGGACGATTCTCGGTTTGGAGAACGAAGTTCATCAATCTAAATGAGCATTATCCCTGCTTCGGACAAATTTGATTTTTTACATAATATAGATTTGAATGTCTTCTTTTGAATAGTCATAATTTAATTTGGGTAATATTTCTAGATTTTTCACAAAAAAATATTAGCGCAGTACACTGATGAACTTCTTTCCCCAAATCGAGACTTGTATTTTATTGAATCGGTCTAATTGAGCGTTATCCCTGCTTCAGACCAATTTGTTATTTTTACATCTTGTAGATTTAAATGTCCTCTTTTGAATATTCATAGTTTAATTTTGGTAATATTTCTATATTTTTCATGAAAAAATTTATTAGCCCAGGAGACTGTTCTCCAAACCAAGAATCGTCCTTTGGGAATTTAGTTTTCTGCAATATATAGTGTTGTATTTGCATGATTATCAGTTAGATCAGTGAAATCGATGAAGAACTTGACCTCCTAGGTAGGTACTGGCATGCTTTTTGATCATGTGAATGTGTATATATCATTCGAAAGAACATTCATTTTTGAATATGATTTCTGGGTAATCAATCTCAGGGGCGTAGGAAGGTGTAAATTCAACACTACGCAAAAAAATCCCGCCAAAAATATGAAACAATTGTGTCAAATCTTCTTTATATAAACGCCTATTTTATTGTCATTTTATGGCAATAGAGATTTTAAGCTTGCAATGTTTTCACAACCTAAATGTTAACGGAAATAATTAAGCGATGTATTTGTATGGGCGATTGGTCATACGTATAGGTTGGCGTTTCGATTTTATATGCAAGCTTAATATACCTGATACCCTTTTTAATGTGCTTAAAATGTTCGAATGATTTTCATCATTTAAAATCACCATGGAAAGCCGATCTTTTAAATCTCGACACAAATCATTCTCACTTTTCTTATGTCTCGAACGATAAAGACGATCGATTTCCAAATAACAATGAGAGATTTTTAATCATTTTCGAATAATTGAATTGAGATATATATTATTGTCTGATTCCATCGTGTATAGTACCGTGCAATACGACACGTACAGATTAAAGAATCTAGCTTGATTTAAAGAAACGCATTCGTGATCAATGATACAATCAATCCTAATGTCTGCAACCTTTTTATAACACTAGTTCGCAAGACCAAATAAACCTCCCACCACAAAGGTCAAATCGAGGTCAGCGTGACTTGGGGGGTGCCAAAAATGTTATATTTCATGAAAACAATAATCTATTATCTTTCAAATGAAATAAAAATCTAGGTAATAGCTTTTCTACAACTGAAATCAATGGAACGCGTAATTAAATAATTAACATTTTCAAGTTATTTTTGTCTTTAACATTCATATTTCAAGAAGTACTACCAATAACAATGGGTGATTTAGTAAGAAAATAGATAATTGCTGACTTAACTATAATTTCTGTCTATGATTTTGCCTAGCAAAGGAATATAAATCGATATAGTGAAATTGAAAAATTGGGGGTAGGGGAGAATAAAAAATATACATCTAATTTAAAGAGGTTCATCATTATAATTAAACGATACCACAGTTTGCATAAGCATTACGGAACATGCGCAAGAAATTGCAAAGGTATTCATCAAGTAGTTTTTCAATAGTCAATAGCCTAGTGACTCGATTTTCATGAAATAAAGCATGTTGGTAAGAGAATTCAATCTGTTAATTGATTATTTGCCAAACAGAGCAATAATGATTACTTTGCATTTTCTACAGTATTAGAATTGTAGAAACAAGGTATTAACTTTCAATATTTTATTTTTCAAAAAGTGTCATTTATCTGTGGCCAAGGTTAGAAAAATAACAGAGGCACAAAAAACATGCAAAAGAGTACTATTAAGAAATCGAGCATATCATATGGTATCCACAAACATTTCTTTAGGCTAGTGTGCTCGAGATTACTTTTGTACAATACAATAAGAAAATATGAATAAAGAACATAGGTAAATTAATAAGCCTTTTTATTCTCACTTTTCAACACTACGCACTGGCGTTTTGGCGTACATTGTTCCTACGCCACTGAATCTAGGTCTGACATTCCTTCAATGTTTTTTTTGAAGTGGTATTAATTATTCTGGCTGACTGTACAAAATTTGCATCTTTAGGCAGTGACTCTTCTTATCCATGGTTGTGTCTCTAAGTCATACCTGTATAAGATGAACACCTTTGGTACCTCTAAAAAGTGTTCATAATATCATGGAACTCTAAGAGTTCTACCTATAGAGGCACATGAAATTTTTTTACAAAAGGTCCAAAATACAAATGAATTTATCCACAAAAAATATTTTTGACAAACTTGGAGCGAAATTAAATTCATCATGTCAGTCCCAATAGAGTGAATAAGAGGAATAAGAAGACAAAAATGGAACAACTATTTGAAATTTGTTTGGAATATTGATGTAGGTATAGTACAGTATCTGAGTACCAGTAAAAATATTTTTTCGAGTATTGAATGATGGCAATAGAAGTTGATGTAACTTATAGATGTCTTATTTCATTTTTCACTCGTTGATTAAAAATTAAAAAGATCAGCTCACTTACCTTTCTGTTGGTTCCCAAAAATGGTTGATTCACTTGTAAAAATGCTTGTATTTATCTGGAATTTTGAACATTATTATTTTCATATTAGTGTAATCTGGCAGACCTTATTGACAGTAATCTTGAGATGAAAATGTTGAGCTAACCTGGCTTGAAATTGCATAAGTTTTTTTCAATTATGAAATTGTGATGAATACTGTACTTCTACTTAATTTAGCGCTACTTTTTTGGCGGATTTGCTGTTTTGAACATTTGGCAGCTACTTAATTTAGGGGACTTGCAATATCACAATAATATTACAATGTACTAATGGTACTAATTTACATGGTTCTAAGATTACTGGGGAATTTGGCGGCTGCTTAATTTAGCAGACTTTACCAATTTGATGGAACGGTTGCGAAATTAAGTAGAAGTATAGTAATAATACTATTTGAAACTGAATTGTACAGGAGAATATGATTCACGTTTCATCAATACTAAAAAATACATCATGAGATAATCTAAAGGTGGCAAGCTGTTACACAAAGTTATTGAAATACAATTAACTTTTTAATCAAAATAATTTTTGAGAGTTTAAAACTTATAAATGTATTAAAAACTGAATTTTTTATAATAATTTATCATCATTTTCAGCTTTATTATTATATAAATTAATTTAAATTCATTCTAAATTGGACTTGATTTGACTTTGTTATGTTCCCTGTAGTCAAAACAATTTGTAAAGCAATATGACCTTTTTAAGAAATAATGGATTTATATTACAAAAAATGCAAGGGGAGTTTTGCCGCTGGAAGTCATAAACGTTTTTGACCAATCAGAGCTTATTCAAGTCTTTTTATAGCTATAGAATAGGAACTTTTTATAAATTGGAACAGCACAGATCTAAATACCATAAGGCAATGCGTGATGATATTTTACTTGAAAGAATCTTTTAGAAAAGATTTTCAGAGTGACAACTTGAATCTTTTTCAAAATACCATATGATTGAATTTCACAGTACGCAGTATACAGGTAAATACTTGAAATCAGTGGAGGGGGGATGAATGTAATGTTGAAATGCATTTGAAATGTTTCTTAATTTAATCTATTGGAATTTTGGAAAAAATCCTAACTTGTTTTTAATTTTTTTATTCTTGGTACTAGAGAGTAGGGGAGGGGGGGGGGTATTTTTTTTTCAGGACAACTCTACTATCTGTTCCAATGCCTGTGGTTTCAAACCTGCTAAATAAACATTTGTACGCGCCTCCCAACATTTAATTATAATTATTTGGCAATAAATATCATGTAAAAACCCATTTCTAAAGGTTTCCTCTACGTACTGATTTTTTCATCTGTAACCTCCAGACACAGACATAGCTATTTTTGAAATCACACCATATTATTTTTAAAATTACAATCCTAATCTACTTACGTAAAAATAGTTCTAAAATAATATCGTTCAGGCACATGTTGAGAACAGTAAGTGGCAAAGAATGACTTACCTGTATTCCATTGTCCTCGCTTATTCCTCGGAATTCCTATTCAGGTCTTGTTGGCCTTAATTGCTCTCATGTAATACTTACAGCATTACTGTCAAAATCAGTATTATTAAAACAAAACATTTATATGTGTAAGAACATTTTTATTTATTTATTTTTATGGTGTATATTGGTTGAATTACAAGGTATTGATGCATGGATTTCTCGATTTCTAAAAATTACCATGAAAATTGAATGTTGAATAATTATGTATTTTTTTTATTTCATTCTATACCATTCGTCATTGTATGTTTGTTGGTTAGACCCATCATTTCCTAAGAACAAAGTTAAAAAGTATATAAATTAAAAGAATAATAATATAATGTTAATTTTTTTACCTCAAGTGTCACTGATATACAAGAATATATTATATATATTATTGGAGTATATATATTGTATTTTGTAGAAATGATATGTTACAAGGTTTCTGTCAATACCATCTGGTGATTTTCTAATAATATCATGTGAATCAGATATGGTATTTTCAATTTAACGCTAGAATCAGATACATTGAATAAGTTCTGTTTTATTTTATTTGTCAGCTAGGCCCTTTGATTCATTATTTGCTTTCATCTTAGTAATCCAGACTTGAGGTTGAGCCATTAATATAATGTATGTGCATTTATATTTCAGACTTACAATATGTAACAAATAATATTTTTTAATTTTTCAGTTTGGATGAGTTCAACTGCGTGGTAATAAGTAGCACAGTTCTGACCAGTGATCAGGTCCTGTTAGCCGAGTTCATCCTGTTGTTGGAGTATCAACAGAATACAGAGAGCTCAAAGTGGCAGGAACCAGTGATCAGGTCCTGTTGGCCGAATTCTCCCTGTTGTTGGAGTATGAATACATGGAGAGCTCAAAGTGGTAGGAACTGTGTTTGCGACAGAACATCAGACATATTGGCTACAAGAGCATTTTCCAACTGGACAAATCTGAGAGTATGAGTAAATGAACTTCCTATAACTTGAAAATGTTTTTCACGAAGAATTATTTATAATTTTGAAGTATTTATTATACAAACATATTTTCCAGTATACATTTTGAATGATTCCATGTTAGCACTATGTTGAATTTGCTATTCAGAGGAGTGGCTATTTTTGAATATCGATAACTCTTATAATGCAATGACAATTTTTTCCATTTAAGAGAATTGTAGAATAACTCTCATAATGCAATGACAATTTTTTCCATTTAAGAGAATTGCAGAATAACTCTCATAATGCAATGACAATTTTTTCCATTTAAGAGAATTGTAGAATAACTCTCATAATGCAATGACAATTTTTTCCATTTTAGAGAATTATAGAATAACTCTCATAATGCAATGACAATTGTTTCCATTTAAGAGAATTGCAGAATAACTCTCATAATGCAATGACAATTTTTTCCATTTAAGAGAATTGTAGAATAACTCTCATAATGCAATGACAATTTTTTCCATTTTAGAGAATTATAGAATAACTCTCATAATGCAATGACAATTGTTTCCATTTAAGAGAATTGCAGAATAACTCTCATAATGCAATGACAATTTTTTCCATTTAAGAGAATTGTAGAATAACTCTCATAATGCAATGACAATTTTTTCCATTTTAGAGAATTATAGAATAACTCTCATAATGCAATGACAATTGTTTCCATTTAAGAGAATTGCAGAATAACTCTCATAATGCAATGACAATTTTTTCCATTTAAGAGAATTGTAGAATAACTCTCATAATGCAATGACAATTTTTTTCATTTTAGAGAATTATAGAATAACTCTCATAATGCAATGACAATTGTTTCCATTTAAGAGAATTATAGAATAACTCTCATAATGCAATGACAATTGTTTCCATTTAAGAGAATTGTAGAATAACTCTCATAATGCAATGACAATTTTTTCCATTTTAGAGAATTATAGAATAACTCTTATAATGCAATGACAATTTTTTCCCATTTTAGAGAACTGTAGCAGAAGACAATGATTAGCAGACACCTTTTTCAAAACTTTATTCAATTAAATCAACCTCTACTGAGGAAGGTTGCGTTCAAAAGTACTATATTTGCTGTTGCTACACCACCTCGAAAATCTGGAGTTGCAGTTATTAGGATATCAGGTGAATGAAAAGGAGTAATGTTATTACCTAAGTTGAAATGCTCTATTCTGATTGGTCAAGAAGAGGTCAATAGTTTAATTGTTGTGACAATTGATCCATTCAATACATATCTTCATTGTTAACGTGGTTTATACCCTGTTTATTTTTTCGTGGAGCCACTCAGTAAAATTATGATTTCTCTGCACCGAGATATTCAATCAAGATCAAGTACCTATGTGTTCCTGACACGCTTAGGCATCCAGGAATGACACCGACCACCCAAAGTTTGCAAGTCATATTGACGTGATTCATGACTGAAATTGGGAAAACAAAAAGATGTGATATTCTTTCAGAATTGTTTATAATAACTATTTACAAAAATGTTCCCAAGACACTGATCCATTTGTTTTAAAGTCAGAAAGCCCCAATGAGACACTACGAACCCAGAGAAACCCCGGAAGCCTTCAAATATCATAATGCAATGTTCTGTGTTCATGTAAACAAGTAAAGTACATCTAATTCTCATATAAAACACTGGCCTATGTGACATGTCTAAACTGTTAGATAGAATTTTTCAGTATAGTATTCGCTTTTGTGTTCTGTGTGCCCCTCTACCCTACCTGCTTAATAAGGCAATCTATCTCAAATAAAACCTTAGCCAAATAGATTAGTGTCTCTGGAACACTTTTGTAAACAGTTTTCACAAGCAATTTTGTTTTCTGTATACTAAATTTTGTCATCCCAATTTCAGTCATAAATTACGTCAATATAGTGTGCTAACCATGTGTAGCAATTGTCATTCCTAGATGCCGTAACGCATTACAGTAACACATATGTACTCAAAAGATCTTAATTGGACATCTTATTGCAGAGAAATTGTAATTTTACTGAGTGGCTCCATGAAAAAATAAACAGGGTTTTAAGCCACCTTAAAGGCTGAATTAGATCTATAGGTGATCACTGATAAAATTCAAACCAATATTTGATGTACAATTGACCTTCCAATACATTCTTTATGATCTCATATATTATATCTACCAAAAGATATGTAATTGGTGAAACTATTTAAGATTCAAAATGCGAAATGGTGAAAAGGTTTAAATTCTCCCAAATGATAAATGTGGTGACCACATTCATAGAAAAGTGAATGGCTGTTCTTATTATAGGTGATCGATGTGCATACATCTTGGAGAAAGTTGCAATGTTCATGATCCTTCCACAACCACGTCTTGTGAAATTACGTAGATTTTACCATCCAGCCACAGGTGAAATGCTTGACAAAGGAATGGTTGTATGGTTCAAAGGTAAAAAATGAATCTGTAAACATGTCAAGGGTTGAAAGGGTGAAACATATTAATTTGCATTATGTAAGTGTGTTCTATTTTTTCTAATATCTATTAATAAATGTTTCAATATAATGTTGAGTACAAATATTCTACCAACTTACTGTCACATTACTATGAAAATCATCTTTGTTCACTCGGCTCCTGTCGGTCAATGAACGCAGTGAAGACCGGAGCGTGCGAAGATGGTGAAAATAGCTTCAAAGAATGGTCATACATAAACAAACTGTTCCAGTATGATGTTAGAAATATATTTATCACCTTTATTTGCATTCACAAAGTATATAAAGAACACATACTATGTCACAAAGTATACATACTATGTCACAAAGTATACATACTATGTCACAAAGTATACATACTATGTCACAAAGTATACATACTATGTCACAAAGTATACATACTATGTCACAAAGTATACATACTATGTTAGTAGATACATGTGTATAAAATTAAAATACATCAACTTAATTTTAATTTTATACATCAACCCAATTTTATTTTTGATATTGAAAGCAGGCCTGCTTCAATATCAGATTTGCAGATTTGCACCGCAGGCAAATATTGATCATAAAAGAGTATAACGTTCCTTTATTTCTTTTTTTAATTGTTATATGTAATCCAGCTCATTCTGACACTAATCTTATTTTATTTAAGATTTACATTTTAAAAATACGCTTCATTTTAAAATATTGATTCTAAAAGATACTAGTTCACCGTTGCCTCATTAAGGACTCGTAACTTTTCAGAAATAATGTTATTAAAAATTGAATTAAATGCCCAATTAGTATGACTATAATATTCGGATGAAATGATTTTGCTTCTAGACACCACATGAGCTCTAGTTACAGATACGAACAGAACTAATACGCTACATATATGAACACTACAGTGAATGGTTGAATCCTATCTAATTTAATTTGTTTGCAATAACCTGTGTGACATTTTGTCTTGCTAATGTTGCAAGATTATCTTTTAATGTAAAGTTGGTATTAATCTTTGTCACAAGTTTGTCCATATGAGCCAAAACTCAGCACGATTAAATATTGATCATAAAAGAGTATATCGTTCCTACATTTCTCATTTATTGAATTGTAATATACCTCAAGTAATCCATTTCATTCTGACGCTAATCTTATTTTATTTAAGATTAAATTTTAAAAATACAATTTATTATAAAATATTAATTCGAAAAGATACACCGTTGCTTCATTGTGAGTTCTTTTTCAGAAAAATTTATTATTAGATTGAATTAAATGGCTAATTACTATGTTTTAATATTCTGGTGTCGAAATGATTTTGCTCCTTCTAGACATCCCATCCTTGTTATATTTACGAAAGGGACTAATACGCTACATAGCCCCAAATGAGCACAGAAATGGTTAAATCCATTCTGATACTCATCACATTTTGCCTTCAACGAGAAATATGAAGTCCCTGCTTTCTCATTAATGGGTTAAATCTTACCTAATTTATTGGGATTTTTCGACCGGGGGTTCGCATTAACCCCTCGAACCCCCGCTGGCTACGGGCATGTTTAAGAAGATTTGTTGATCTTCGCATTAGAATTCAAGGAAATTCCACCAAAATTAATATTGAGAATGAGAAGGTTATTCCAAAATTAGATAATTGCATCATTGTGGGTTACCCTATACATTTTTTGATTATTTCAGGACCTCAAAGCTTCACTGGGGAGGATTGTTGTGAGCTTCACATACATGGAAGCGCTGCCGTAGCAACAGCTATGATGTCAGCACTCGGCACAATTCATCAATGCAGACAAGCAGAACCAGGCGAATTCACGAAAAGGTTTTACAATTTTAATAAATCTTCATCCCTTGGTAATATGAGGGGTTTGTAGAAAAAACCGGGTACCGGGTAGTAAATCCTCCATGCTGGGTTCAAACTTGGTACCCGGGTCATATTACATATAAGATGTTTTCCCTAGGAATAATATTCCATCCCTCTCATGAATTAAATAACCCCTATTAATCTCAATGTTCAATGTTTTCTATAATAAAGCCTCCTTTTTATACCTCTCCCTGTTAAAAAATAGTTTGGGATACATCACAATTAAGACAGACAAGGAATGATTTTTTGAAAATGCGCACAGGACACATTTTTGAAGAAGAGCTGAGACTGAGGTTTGAAAAAATTGTCAAAATCTTTATTCATTCCATGTCATAGCTGCAGTTTTTAAGAAGTTTTGACTCAATTCAGGAAAGTTTATTGATTTTAAAAGTTATCTTGCAAAACAAATGAAAAAGTGGACATCACCTTTTTTGATTCTAATGTACGTATCTACAAATTTCTACATTTTAGATCTGAGATAACTGCTCTAATACTGCATATTTGATCAGAAAATCTTTTTTTCCGTAAATAAAATGAGGATTGTAAGGGAAACATTGGATTGTTTTTGAAAAGATCGCTTCCAACATTTTACTCTCTATCTGCATCCTTTGGCTTAATTTCTAGGGCATTCCACAATGGTAAGCTAGACCTGACTGAGGTGGAGGGCCTGGGGGAGCTGATACATGCAGAGACAGAGGCCCAGAGGAAGCAAGCTTTGAGGCAACTCGAGGGACAGCTCAGCCAGCTCTACCAGTCGTGGAGAACTAGACTCATTAAGGTCTCAATAGCAATACATTTACACATACATATACATGTAAAAGCTAGCATTGTCCAATATGAACACTGCTTGAATTTAGAAACGTCTTCATAGATAGGATGGGAGTTAATAGTACATCCATAATTTGGTACAGATCAAATGTTTACATTTCAAGATGTTCATTATGGGCTTTACTCATCAAGAACCATGTTATCTAAATGTTTCTCATGATACAGAAAGATTTGTTGACTGTCAGAACGTGCTTTATTGTACTTTTTTTATACCCTGACATGCACTGTACTACACTCTTTACTGTACTGTGCCCTGTACTGTACTACATGTATACTATAGTATGCTGTACTATTAGTACACTATTTATTACATAAGTGATGTAAGAATCATAAAGAATCATTAATCTGTTCAACCTCCTTATTCTGTGCCATTTGATCCACAATATCTGTAGAGAGGTGTTAACCCAGGGGTTTCACTGCAATACACTTCTTAATACTTATGTGCCGCCCCAAAGACCCCCATTTTTAGCATTTTTTCCTTGTCAATTTCCTCTAAAGATTAAATGTTTCAATGTTTAATTCCTCTGAGACTAATAAATGACTAAAAAATCAGCTTTTCTACTGATTTGTTCCAGGCTACAGCAACTGATTTAACGATTTTAATACAATTTTCTGTCGAAAAACTGAATTTTGACTTAAAAAGGGTACTTTCTTAGACAATTTTCCATGTTTTTTCCTCTCAAATTGGCCATTTTCCATGTTTTATGCTCAAAGCCAAAATTGGTCATGCTGCACATACTTACCCAAATTATCTCGAGTGAACCCCAGGGGTGTTAACATGCATATCGGTTTTACTGTATATTCAAACAAGTCTATTAAATTGCAGTGTGCTGCCAATATTGAAGCATTCATCGACTTCTCTGAGAATGACACGCTCGAAGATAATTTGTTGGAAGATGTGGAAAAAGAGGTGACACTTTTGACTCAAGATATACAGCAACACTTGGCAGATGGGAGACATGGTGACAGGCTCAGAGATGGAGTGAGAGTTGCGATTGTTGGAGAGCCAAATGTTGGGAAAAGTAGTCTGTTGAATGCAATGTGTAAGTCTTGCGTAAATCCCCAATTATAAGTTCTGTATCAAGCCCCAAGTGAAAGTTTTGCATGATGTCCCAAGTGTAAGTCTAGGATGTAGCCTCGAGTGTAAGTTTTGTATCAAACAAAAAATGACAAATACTTGATGTGAGACTATACGTATTTGTCTGTGAAAACATTTCAAATGTTTATATGCCTTCTTTATGTTACTTCTAGTCGAAGTGTTCCTCCGATGCAGTGTGAACAATATCACACCCTTCTGTTATAATGTCACCACCAAAAGTAGTGGGGACATATTGTATAGTCTACAACTTTTTTGTGGATGGTGTTCTGTGGCAGGCATCTGGTGTTTGGAATTTGGCAGTTGGTGTTTGGCAAATGGCAGTTTAGACCTTTGCATGTTAATGCCATGTACATGTATGTAAATATATGCCTCATATCTTCACATTTTGTTTACTTAGAATTATCATACCTAATTTTACTTTAGGCAGACGGCCTGCAGCCATTGTTTCCTCAATAGAGGGCACCACTAGAGACATTATAGAAACACATCTGAATATAGGTGGCTATCCAGTCTTACTAAGTGACACAGCGGGACTGCGTAAGACCAATAATGTGCTTGAGCTTGAAGGAATAAGGCGTGCAATTGAAAGGTAAAATGCTAACTTTGAAATTGTGTCCAGACACACTGTCTAAAAATGTGTTACAAGCTGTTAGAATTATTTTGTTCAGTATTGCACTGAAAAGGTCATGCTGATAGTCATGTATGGCTGTATCGGAAGGTGAGTGGCACAAGAAATCGTTCAGACATTAAACTTGAAATTTTTACAAATGCAAGAGCAGACTAGTACCCAGATCTGATCAAGTTTTGGGCATGCTGGGTTATTTATTAGGAAGTTACTTTTAATAAGTATGATATTTATCACTGCTTATCTTGTTTAAAAACATATATGGAGTGAAGCCCATTAGGTACACGTGTCACATACTCCTCCCACTGAAACTTACTTTCCTGATTAAATATGGTACATCAAGTGACATCTATATTTTTCAGGGCAGAGAATGCTGATATTATTTTAGTGGTGCTAGAAGCTCGTAAGATAGCAGAACTAGCTGAATTAGAACCCCAGTTCAATCTAAACACTTACCTAATGGAGCATATCACCTCACTTGGACTCACCATTAACAGAACAGACTCAGTTCAAGAACCAGTGATTGCAGCTGTTCTGAATAAAATTGACCTGATAGGGGATAGTTCACTGAGTGCAATAATCAGTCAGTGTCGCAAAGAGTCTGACAAAATGTTGAGTGTGACTGGAAAGTTGTCACACACGAGAGATGATAGTGCCAAATGTGACACAAGGGAGCAGAATGCCAAATATGACATCAGGGAGCAAAGCGCCAAAGATGAAACTAGTGATTATAGTGCCAATCTGAAATATGACACAAGGCAACATAAATCAGATGAATATACAGTGGAATATAATACTGAGCAAAATGAAACAATATTTCACTCAGAAAATATATCACCTGAGATAACAAACTCTAGTGTCCCCAACACTGAACAATTATTTATCAATAATAAAGATAAAACAAAAAGGGACTGCCACACTAGAACGAGTACAGATGATGTATATGAGGAAATACCTGTAGTATGTACCTCATGTGTCTCTGACACTGGAATCAGTGATCTTATCTCAACTCTACAACATCATCTTGAACAAATGTAAGAAATAAAGTTATTCACTGATTTGGGTAAAATAGATGTACAGGGAATATTGCAGTCTTTTTACACAAGGCAACAGCCAGGTGGACCCTTAGCCTGCTGCATAAACCCTTGGTGCAGATAAAACGAGTGCTTGGTGTGGTGCCAGATGTCAATTTTGAATTTAAATTTGTGATATTTTATATATTGCTGTTAATGCCATTTGATATATCTTATTTTAAATTATTCATTTGGCAAAGTTAGCCCTCCCCCATTTGGCAAGAATACAACCTTTATATAGAATTTATTCTTCATATTTCAGGTGCACTACAGGTGCCACAGAAAGCCAGGGAGTATGTCAAGCCAGGCACAGGGAGCTCCTCACCGAGTGTCTATACAGCTTGGAGAAATTCACATCCCTGGGGGGCCAGGACTATGCTATAGCAGCACAGATGCTCAGGAACTCTCACCGGAATCTTGGCAAAGTTATTGGAACTGTTAGTACAGATGATATACTTGATGTTATTTTTAGGGACTTTTGTATTGGTAAATGATCAAAATATGTCTTGGAAAGATAAAAGGGGGGAAGGGAATGAATAACCTATTTTATATAAGAAATCTACAGAGGAATCCTCCAATAATGGTTATTAAAATAATACATAAACAGGCAATTAACATGCAAAATGTCACAACCTACCATTTGTTACAGATGCCGACTGCCAAACATCATCCATAAAAAGTTTGAGGCAATAATAATATGTCATCTGTTCTAAAGATGACATAACAATATGAAATGTATCTTTCTTATTAAATGAATAAATGAACAAGAAAATCATATTTTGTTTTACAGTTTATTCTATGAATATTTCTACACCTACTGCATGTCCCATACATCATATCTCCCAATAAATTTGCATTAATGTACAAGTAGCAGAACTAACACATACATCGGCCAGTGGCATTTAGCATCACTTTGAAAAAACATACATGTACGTATATCACATTCAACTATTACATATACAACTCTCTTAATAAGAATGTTTACAGAATTGCAGAAACTGTAAATAATTGGGAATATCTGAGATTGTGAAACAATTGAAATTATATGTTCTTTAAAATTTACCTTGAAAGAGACACATAAGAGTCATCTTTGTCAATAAAGAGACACATACGAGTCATCTTTGTCAATAAAGAGACACATACGAGTCATCTTTGTCAATAAAGAGACACATACGAGTCATCTTTGTCAATAGACACACAAGTCTTTTCAAGGAGATGCTTGAGTGTAGTGCCACTGACAATGCCTGACATAAACGGTACATCACAACATAATGACAATTTTACTACTATTCAAGTTACTTCAGTCACATTTTATGCAACCTAGTATAAATTACAGTTATAATATTATTAAAAATAGCATTGACTAACATGTTAACAAGCACCTATTTATAGTGTATAATATATTAACCAATCAGGTTGAATTACCAAATTACTTTTTAAATATCTCACTTTGAATTTCAAACTTTTTAAATATGATCTACTTTCAGACTGCGGAGGCATATATATTTTAGACTCGTTAGGTTTACACTTTGTAAGTTGAAAATTGTAAGTCATCACTAGTGAGCCAATCCTGTAAAATCAGGGCTGCTATCATCCATTCAGTTTTACAATAAAGACTCCAGTTGAGCTTGAACACTAGTTTAGAACTCAAACTCACAAATAATGATGCCAGATACAAACACATCATGCACTCCCAATTAATGATATTGCATACAGTTTAAATCTATCTTAGTGAACACATTGTCTCCTTCCTACAGTGAACCTTTTTTTGTGGCCAAACAGGTGTTCACTATACATAGGTTTACTTACTATCATACACTTTCATATGATAAATAAAGCAAAGTACATGTAGTAATGTACTTCTCTATTGAGCTAACAACTAACACTTTCAAGTCTTAACTGTTAATCAATTGTGAATAATGCCAAAGATGGCATAAAAATACTGTTTTTTTGAAATATGGAATGATACAAAAGGAATGTAAAATAAAATAAATTCTGAATCAGTGGTTTTTATTTAAGTCTAACATACTAAACTTTAGTATATTTTTCACAAGTTCCTTTCTTGGACTCATTTTAGACTCCACAATATTTCAGCCATCCTTAAATTCGATAATGCAATCTTAATAAAAACTGAAAGAATGACAAAGACGATCCCTTAAAAGAATTTCAAGTACCTTACTGTACTTCGCTCATATACAGGGTGTCTCAATAACATGTTTATCTGTACTTGACTCATATACAGGGTGTCCCATAACATGTTTATCTGTACTTGACTCATATACAGGGTGTCCCATAACATGTTTAACTGTACTCGACTCATATACAGGGTGTCTCATAACATGTTTATCTGTACTTGACTCATATACAGGGTGTCCCATAACATGTTTAACTGTACTTGACTCAGATACAGGGTGTCCCATAACATGTTTATCTGTACTTGACTCATATACAGGGTGTCCCATAACATGTTTAACTGTACTTGACTCATTTACATGATGTGTCAAAATTTTCTGGAATCCTAAAAAACTAATATCACAAATAAGTACTAACTGTGATGTTATTTCCCATACCAAGTGATCTTTGAATATATTCAACCAGTAACTTTTTCTATTTTACCCAGGTAAACATCATCCTAGATATAAACTCCTCCCTGTATTAAATATAATCCCTACTATTCTAGTTGTATTCTGGAAGATTAGTAGGATGCTTGTTTGCGTAGACTCACAGGTTACTCCACACCCTGATCAATCCATACTTGCGATATCATAAATTCGCAAGGGGCTTGTCTGTGTGCCATGCAGATCCATTACTGATTTACAATACCGCAAGTGGATTGTATGATTGGGGTGTAGACAACTAGCTGTGAGGCTGTTCAATGTTCTACACAAGCATAAAAATTACAGAAGACATAGCAAGCATACAAGTAATTGTTTAAAGGCCCAGAGATTTGGACCTGGGTGAAGCTATTAATCAAGCTGTCACAGTTCAGCCAATCAGTGCTAATGTGGCCAGTTTAAATGTCCAGCATATATAGAAACACATGGTCTGCTACAAGAGAGATACAGCCTAGTGCTATGTTTGTTTACTTCTTAACAGATAAGAGATGGCCATTGGTTGAAATTTAAAATTTCAGTTATACTAATGAGCATATTTACAAAAAAGAAATTGTCTTATTTCACAAAAACTAAAAAACATTTTCAGAATTTGATTCGAGATTTTTAGTCATTATAGATTCATAAACCTCTGTAACACAAAAGAGCTTGTAACTCATGGTAACCATCTTGTTATAGTAGAAAGTTTGAAAATTTTCTCATTTTGTTTGAACTGGACATTTAAACTGCCATATTTGGCTGTTGTGGGCTGTTCCATCTGCCTTTTATACCCGCTCTCAGCCTTTAAGTATTTGTTAATACTTATACAGAAAAATCTAAAATCAGAGGCAACAAATGTGAGTATGCTCTACAGTGCCTTCTAGTCGAAATGTTATTTTGACAATAACTGTTAATACAGGGAAGATAATGTATCACGAACCATAAAATCTTTTTTTAACCAAACCACATGTGAATTGAACACACAGGAATTCCTTTATGCAGTTCATACATAAAATGCAGGTTCCGAAAACAGATCCCAAGTTGGAATGAAGGAGATGACTAGTCAATTTATTTTTTGAAATCAGAAAAAGTTTAAAAAATCACACCTGGAAATCTGCCAATTTTTATGCAACATATCACACATTTTAAAGTGTAAGTACATGTATGTATAATATTTGCAAATAGAAAAAATTGGCATTAAATGTATCTGGAAACCAACCGTAGATTTTCATGAACACAATAGTTGTTACGAATTTAGACATGTTTGTATCTTGAATTTAAAGCCCACATATTATCATAAAATGTCATGGCAATATTTAGATGTTATAGTTGGGGTGATTCTGGGGGAGCATATTGGTTGGTAAATCACAAATATTCATTTTCAACTCCATCATGACCAATCCAACCATTAATATCATTTACAAGACAGATCTAAAAGTTTCTCCTTTTGCTTTTTCTACAGGATATGTGTTTTAAGATGTAATATATCAAGGATGAATATTCATCCTTGGATAACATAGACATTACCTATAACACGTATAATGTAATATGGACTATCAACAACTATCAGTTATCAATCTATAGTTCACTAAAAATTCATTCCAGTTATCCCAAATAATCCATGACAGGCTTATCTCATTTCCATTCAGTAGGCTACAATCACAATCATTCCTTCAAATTCCAATTTTATTAAATTTTCAATTCAATCGACTTAAACCACTAAAACATTTATTCACTTTCAAAAATTTCTGATGACTGACTAGTCGAAATTTCAAACTGCATCTTCTACAGTGATATCCACTTTGAGAAATATAGCACCCATAGAGTCTCATTCAAGCATTAAAACTATGAAGCCTAGCAAAGAAAATTTCAATACATTTAATCATTCAAGAGTCATCCTTTTCGAATTTCATCAAATAATAAAAATTATTACACACAATAACATACACTATTGTTGTTTAAATATCGTCGCCATAGTAACTGAGATTGCACTGCTCCCATATACAATTGGGCACCTTCAAAATGCACAACATATCACCTTTTTCAAAAATTGTAAATATGTATAATATATAGAATGTACATATCTTATGTATAACGAAAATTAGCATCAATTAATATAAATAGGTTGACTAAAATTATGGCTAAATTTAATAATACAAGGAATCATAAGAAAAGGCATAATTATTCACATATTTTAACTGAAATATAGTTCAAAGTGGCAAAAAGACTGTTAAATTGTACTCCATAAAAACATCAGTACAACACATGTCAGTCACATAAACAAAAAATTAGGGCAATCTAAATTTTGTGAGGCATCTGATGTCATGGTTCCTTGTATATTGACTTAAAATGAAGTTGTCTCATTTTACACATCCCACTCCCCATGTAAGGATACAAATACTATATAAGGAAATATAGAACTATACTGCTGATATATGGTGGCCTTTTACAGAAAGCGAGTCCCATTTCCTCATAAAAATACATGTAAATATGCAATGTTTAAATAATCCCTATTTTTCAGTTTTAACAAATTAAATAGCCATTGCAAAACTCTTCAATACAGAATTACTGTAATGCTACAAAATCATTTGGGATTTCTAGAAGTTTCAAAGAGCCAATCAAACCATCAATGTTCTTTAGCATTTAATGCTATGGTTTTGAAATACCTATCATTAACAATCATAATTAGGATGATCCACACATTTTCGTGACATAGTTTCGTGCAGGATCATAGTAACTTGCCCGAAATGCTTTTGTTTCTGGCCAGCCTCTCATTTCACTAACCAGTGGCAACTTGTAGTCAGTCTCCATGACAAGAACCATCCCCACTAATGCAACTACCAGCAATAGGGTGATGACTGCAGCGACAGTTTTCAATGTGCTTCTACTTGAGTCGGGTTTTATATCATCTTGGGGTTTATCTGTGTTGACCACACCATTGTCCTTTGAGTGCTCTACAATTGGTTCAGTTGTCATAACAGAAGTTTGCTCTTCATCCGGAACATCAGCCTTTTCACCTGAATGATTCATCGATTTAGCTTCCTCTAATTCTTTTTGTAAAACTTCAATTTGAGCATCTAAATTTTCTGGTGTAGTATTATCAGAGGCGAGATCCTGTGGTGGTTCCTCCTGGTCTGGAGTAGCGGCAGCTGACTTGTTTGGTTCATAAGTCGTATCCGAGATTTTCACCTCCTCTTCTTCAGGAATGGAGAGCTCCTCTGGTGCAATTGGAGCTCTAACCTCTGCCTCGAGAGACCGACTCATGACATCTGGGACTGATTGAGCTGTCTCTATTTCTGCAAGATACAAGTAAATATCTCAGTTATTTTCATCCTATAGAAAATGAGAATACAACTTTATTTTGCAGACAGGCAAAATCAAAAATGTGTGAAATTGAACCACTTCATGAGAGATCAAATACATGTATCACAAAATTAAATTGGAAGAATAACCATAGGAAACTTTTCATTCTATGACAGCATGAAATAGAATAAAGATAATTTATGACATAATCTACATTCATTGTAATCCTGATCTGATGTAATGCCTATCGGGAGGAAAATGTACAATTATAATATAATGTAACAAACAAGGCATTAACATGACAAAATGTCAACATCAGTTACTGGAAGTTGTAAGAATTTGTTACAGACGCAGACCTCAGACTGCCGAACACTGTCAACAAAAAAGTTTGAGACTATAACAATATGTCATCACTTCGTGTTGTGACATAAAAATAAGACATACCCTCGATGGCTGAATTGCTGATCAAGGAGTTAGGTCGACTCGTGGATTTACTAACATGGCGTGGGAAGTGTGGGACTGACTGGGACCTGAAAAACAATCATTTACAGTGAATACCCATATCCATAATACCCATATTACTATATTCACTTTATTAGATAAGCTTCTCAATATCCCTTCAAAGCAGTTTTTGTGGGATAAAATGAAGTACCAAAAAATCTTAGACTTCGACTGATGGAAGGGTGGAGTTCATTTGGGTATCTGAAGTTTAAGGATTTAAGCCATGGCCTCAGTCCAATGTGGAATGACAATTCCTTGAAGGTGTTGTTTTCCAAAATTTGCACGGGATGTGCAGCATCAAGTAATCATTTTAAGAAAAAACACCTGAAAGAAATGGTCATTCCACAATGTATTACATACCCAGCGAAGCATTTGTATTGAAGTCAATGGAGCTGAAGGTCGGCTATATATTCCTGTATAGCCGCCAAACCTTTTACCATGACAATCTTATGACGTCATCGGGACCTCATGTTTCATTTCTTCCTACTTTCACTCGCACACATACACGTGGCGTCATTGATATAACGTAGCCATGATATAAAAGTATGTAATACAACAGTTATGTCCGCATCATTGAATATATGTCTTCGGTCTGTCGTAATATAACCCTCGCAAGCTCGGGCTATATTGGTGACAGACCTTAGGCATATATTCAATGATAGGGACATAACTGCTAAGTATTGAGTCTTGGGGTTATATTATCTTCAATGACACCTAAAAGATATGAAATTATAGAATCTACAAATCTAAAAGATTTACTGGCTGCTTCCTCTGCTAGGAAGTAAACTAAATGATTCACTCCATGATTTTTGACAACTTTAAAGCTATATTTTAAGGGTGGAAAAATGATAAATATAACTGACTTCATTTCCAATAACTAAAACTTATACACCGACATTTGTACCCATACTGCTTTATTAGCACTAACAGGTCTGGATAACAATAACAATAGAATGATATTTTTGATCTCGCTCAGAGTCATAACAACAAATGATGAAATTGAAAAGATAAAATCGTGCATAACTGTAAATAAATATTCATTAGCATTAAGGAATATTGATGAAATTGGAAAGATAAATTGTGAATAACTTTATGGCGTAAAGAATATTCTGAGCATTACTGCTAAAATATTCAAAGCAAGGATTCTACTGTTACTTTTATGCTAGTTAAAACCACATACTATTTCTTGCTGAGGAGGGGTGTCTGGGTCATGGTTTCATTATATTTTTCAAATTACATTAATATAGCAAACTGTACTTTTGTTTTGTTGTTTTTGCAATTGTCTGGATATTGGTGATGAATTTAATTGGTGAACTTACAAGACATCTCTTAAACCATGGTATAGGTATAGGATATAGCACCTGATTAAAGCACTCTTATGCTGTTAATATGATTTTAATAAGTGAAAACAAACCAAAACATGTTTAAGGTTGTATTTGTCATCTAGTAGCTAGTTAAACACATTATAATTATTAATATTTGCAGTCGAAAATCAAAGTTGAAAAAATATTTTTGGTAACAAAACTTTACATTTGTGTCTTGTCAATTGGTTCTAAATCAAAAATGGTGCACCAGGATAAATATCTGTAATAAAAAACACATGGCAATATGGCAAAAAAACTCATGCAATTTCTTTATCATTGGGTATTCCAGTTTCTTTTGTTGTCCATGAACTGGAAAATATATTCACGATGACGACTCTGATAAGTGAAAATAAATGTAACACATCATCCTAATACTCCTTAATAATTATACTACACGCATAACTATTACATTATAAAAAAGGAATTTTGCAAAGATAGTTGCAAGTAGCAGTTGAAAAACAGAAGCAAAAAGGTAAGCTTGAACTAAATCAGAATTTATCATAGACCCTCTTGTTAGCCAATGGAAGAACTTTAAAAAATGCTCACAATAAAGCTTTTTATTTTGAAGGAAATTATCAGTGAATCAATCAACAAATTTTTCTCAAACATCTTGAGCACCTTTTGTATGAATTGTTTTGCAAATCATATGTATATCCAAGATATTTTATAGCAAGCTATTCACATCATATACTTGTACTGATTCCAAAAGTTTGTCACATTGTCTCAAGATATGAAATTACAATTTGAAATATTTAGAAGCTGCAAGATGCAATCTGGTAATCTGATCATCGTGATATTGGTCATCACCGCAAGTGTGTCAGTCGCTGATATATATTTAAAGGCTGCAGATGAAGATCCTAATAGCCTTTGGGCAAAACTGTAAGTACACAAAAGTGCCTCCTCCCTTCATATCACAAAACCAGTTTTGGGAAATTATTATGCTTTCCATAAATGGGTTGCAGGAATACTATTGGATTCAGCTGCCTATGCCAAGAGCTATAAATACTTTTGACTTTTTCAAATAAAAAAATATAGAAAAGAATGGTTGGTATAGTGCAAAATAAGATGATATGACTAATATGGCATTATTTTTGCTTCTTTATTCTTTAAATTCTAATATATTCGACACATGGAATATTTATATTCGCTAAATCAATTTTTCATTCGGTAAAGACATTTATATATTTGTTACAGTGAATTAAGTTTTCAAAATAGCCAATGTATTAAATCACTTAATACTATGTGCATTAAATTACATATTTTATTCACTAAATGATATATCTTTTGCGTAAACTGTTATATGGTATTCCTTAAGAGTAACACATATATGCACAATATCAAATTTCTATTTTAACCCTTACCGAAATAAGTTTTTCTATCTTTACCAAATGATTTATTTTTTAATGACATAGTTAATGCATTTTACCGAAAGCTTATTTGCTATTTACCGAATGCAATAACACAATATTCGATAACTTTCGTTGTTGTTTGATATTTTGTCACGTGACCTCGAGTTTTGCAAAATGGCCGCGCAACTATTCAACATCGTTTTCATATATCACATGACTGAAAGTCTCGTAAAGTCTCGAAAAAAATAACGAAATTTATCGAATGTGGCATTCGGTATTTACAGAATATAAATAAGTTAAATACCGAATGTTTAAATATAATCAATTGAACTAATTGTGCCGCTGCATCACACAAATACATGTTTAAATATCAAATGAAAATGCCAACACAATGAACAAGTGAAACTGTTCTGCGAATATAAATTGTATAGCTTATTATATTCGATAAAATAAAAGACATTTGATAGATTGGGTAAAGGTTTTGGTAAATTGTTTGTTTTATTTGGTATACATTGAATATTTAATGTACCGAATAAAGAAGCAGTTTAAACACCATAGACTAAAACCTATTTTAGTTGGACCTGCTTAAAGTGTGGCATGTTCCTATTTAGAGGTTCTGACATTATGCAAGTTTTATGATTAAAGGCTAAACAAATTGACTTTTTACCACATTTTCTAAATCATTTTCCATACATTATTACTTATTACTTATTTATAATCAGTAAAGCTACATTTTCTAAATTATTTTCTATACATTATTACTTATTTATAATCAGTAAAGCCTGTCTAAATGGAACTTATTGCGTAAAATAGTGTTCTACTAGAGAGGTGTTAAACTTACAGAGATTGGTATTACATTAAGAAAAGTGTATTCCAGAGGTATTCCATAATATAGGGTTAACTGTATTCAATGAAAAACAATAATATGGTATTCTAACCCTAACTTTATCATTTACATAGGGGGGATGTTTATGGCAAGCCTAAAGATGCATCTGATCCAAAGTGTGGAGATTGCCCTAGGGGTAAAAGATGCTGCAAAGTCAAGAGAGGAAGTAGAGAAATCTACAAGTGTAAGACTAAATGTCGGAAATCAGACGTACAGCCCATACCCATGCATGTAACATGAAAACAACTGAACAAAGGGCAACATTCATGAACTAAAAATAAAATATCAATTTCAAATGTTGGCTCATTGAATAGAAATAAATATTTATGACCATTCAACGATTTGAGTTACATGTTTTTGATGAAAGGTTAGATTTCAATTCTTTATGTGAAAACATGAGCATATATCCCAAAATTCATCAAAATTCCTATTTTTGTAAATATGGAAAAAATTCTTATCATGTGTTATGCAAGACAAATATAAAAATAATATTTTTTCAGCACATAGTTCATTTGGGAGTTATGGTTGCCAAAACTATGTAGCCCGGAGCATCAATTAAGAATACGAATTATAATGTAATTATAATTCTTATTATACATGCTGTATTTTTGTATGCCCAAGGTGCTAGTGAATTGCGAGATATTTTAATGAGTTTTCACCCCAGGTTGGACTAAAAAGAACAATAAGCCCTGAAGGACTCGTGTGTTTTCAACAAAAATAGCTTATCCAAACACACTTACACTCACATAATTATTTTGAAAGACATCACAGTTTATTGAAATCGTGGTGTGTGGTGTATGGTGCACCAGCAACAAGGCGACATGGTTGACACACGGGGTTAGCCAACAAGATTGACAAATGGCAATTAGCTGTGTAATTGCACTTGAATGAGCAGTTTTTGTTGAAACGTGTGACAAAGTAATTAACACTGCAGGGGCTTTTTGTTATTTTCTGATACCTAGGGGAAAACTTATTAAATAATATGCAATTCACCAGCTCAACAGGCAGTATATATTTGATATCACCAAATGCTAAGCATCACCATATTGTCAATCTCATGCGATAACCCATGACCCATGGTGCCATGACCCATACTCATAATACAGTTGATCATTTCAATCATTCTAAGGAAGAAGGAAATGTGACAAAGATCATTTTATCATAAAATGATATATTATTACATTTGCTGAACTTATTGTAAATGGGTTTAGTTACCTCCAAGTATTCGGCGTAATTTATTGAGATATTTTAAGTGAAATGATACAAGTACACACATCCCCATTAATATCCCCTTATTGTTTAAGTAAATATTTTTGGGATAAATATACTGGTAATTTCTAACATAAATGTCACCAACATTGTCAAATACTGAGCTGCCATCATGTAGATTCTGAATAAAACTTTTTAAACGAAAAAGGTGGTGCATGAATTTAGTGCTACTCATATGAGAAGACCCCTAAAGCAGGGCTAACCTGGTGAATTCCGGAGGTTCTCGATTGATGACTTCTGACTCTGAGACTACTTCCTTCTGACAACGTCCACTAAAAGTACACAAATATGCGTTTATAGAGACATATGATAGATATGATTTTAATCTGTGAAGACATATTCAAGTTAAAGATCACTGCCAAAAATGTGAAAAACAAAAACACAAGCCATTTTGATTTGGCCTATAAGCTATTGTGAAAAAGCTGCCTGGTAGACGTTCTCCACTAATAATGCATATTCATATGTAATATGTATAAATCTTTGTATCAATAACCACAGTAATCATACAATACCTGTATCTGAACTTTGATCTCCGGGTAAAGAAACCTCCACCAGATGTCACCTTAGGGGCATCAGCCGATTTATTCAAACTAAAAAAGTAAATGCAAGTCATAATTCATAAATCAAATTTTGTTGATTTTGTGATCTGATCGGTTTAGTAATAAACATAACAACAACTAAAACATGCGTCGATAAACTCACTACAGTTCTTCATATTTTGAAATACTAGAATGTTAAGTCAAATTAAAGACAAAGATAAATGTATTTGTTGTATATGCTAAAATGAGCAATACAATCAACATACATTTATTCGCATAAAGTGAAACCTGGATATTAATGTAAAACAGACCAACAAATCATAATTATCTCTACAATATTCAATCTACAAACAGTTAGTTAGTCAGCCATTAATACTCATGTATTACCTTGACATTCACATATCTCTTTTTTATTGGATATAAAACTTGATCTCATTTTAACTAGCTCCGTTCCATAAATGTCCCAAACTTACAGAAATAATATTTATGATTTTCCTTCTTTAATGGGCACAAATAGATTCTTAACTCGTTGCTGTGTAATTTCTAGGGTAGAGTACTATTTTGTAACTTGGTTCTGACCTCAGTTGCAACCATAAGTTGTAACTGGGTATTATAGTCCTTTTTGTAACTAAGCAAAGTCCTCAGTCACAACTTGGTCCAGTCCTCAGTCGCAACTAGGCGAGGTACAGTCCTCAGTTGCAACTAGGCACAGTCCTCTGTTGCAACTAGGCGAGGTACAGTCCTCAGTCGCAAATAGGCGAGGTACAGTCCTCAGTTGCAACTAGGCACAGTCCTCTGTTGCAACCAGGTACAACTTTAAGTTGTTTCAAGGCTTATAGGGGATCAGTGTGTCATCATGTTACATCCATTAAGATTCAGTTCCAAACTTCATATCTTGGAAAAAGAAAGTTGATCACATTATGAACATGTACTTTTGGTTAATGCATGCACTTACGTGAAAAAGTACTGCTGCTCAACTGCACATTTCCAGAGGTGCTTGCACGCAGCAAAAGTTTGGCATTTAAATCCACATGCATGCTTTTTCTGTAAATACAATGTTAATTTGGGTGAGTAAAAGAAATGTTGCATGTTAGTTAAAGTGGGAATATGGCATTGAGATTAATCTTTTAAACTATATTTATCATTTTACCATACAATTTTGGCTCACACTTTTCATAAGCTTGCCTCTTTAAAAGTAAGCCACCCTAATTAAAACAGGATTTTTATTCATGTCATATTCCCCCTTTAATATTGATTCACGAGATAAATGACAATGTTAATAAGGCTATGGACTCTAAGCAGTCTGAAACATTTCACTGGATTTGCATCCTTGGTCTTCAATTATAATACAGGGATATTTCAAACTGGCATGATATCTCATCCCCAGTCTGCTAAGAGTTAATGGTGGTTCACAATTGTTATCATTGTATTACATACCCCATATGTAGTTTGCATGCTTATTGCTTACTGACCAATTCATTTTCACATGAGATGAAATCAATGGACTTATTCCCTGGAAAGTCCAAAATCCCAGCTTTTGCAGATAAAGGGAATATAAAAAGCACTAATGACTGGTGACATAATGGAAATCCCAGAAGGACAACTGTGGATTATTAGTACACACTTCGACAGACGATAAATATGGCTGCCTGAGATTATTTTGAAATGACAAATAATGATGATTTAGATGATTTTATCGACCAGGCTGACTCCGTGGCAACAAAGAACATTATAAAATCATCAAGAAAACTCTGAAGATTACTATCTAAAAATCAGCTGCGATGCAAACTCAAACTCTCCAGAAATAATCAGAGCTATTTTGGAAAAAATTTGGCCTGTCTGTTTTAAAATAGATAGCACACTGTACATATTGGGTATGTAATAAAACTTTGCCACTCTAAAGTTGTTTATTAATACTCTATGTGTATACTACAAAACAGGTGTCTCAAAACGCAACAATGTTAAACCTTAATTTAAATTCTCATGTTTTAAGTGCGAGGAATAAATCCTTGAACATGCATTCATGCAGGTTGGCAGCAAATAGCAACAAATACATACATAAAATATAAAAAATATGACAAAAATATAAAAAGTATTGAGCAGGAATATAACATAGTGTGACCCTTGTAAATATAGAACAAGACATTAACATGACAAAATATCTCAGAGTAACTCACTGGAATTGATTACAAAAGTTCAAATTTTTTACAGACACTGACCACAGAAAACAATGTGGTTTTAACAATACATTGCCATTTATTGGTGGTGTTACTGTATGTTATCACTTACTGGTGGTGACAGAACATAAGCCATCACTTCTTGATGGTAACATAATATACATATATATCACTTTTAGTATAGTAGGAACAAGGGGTTCCCATGCACCCATAAGGTGTGAATAAGTTACATACATTTTTGTAATTCCTAGGGTGTCTATTTAATGAATTCATTTGTTAACATTGCCAACTAATGTCCCATAGTACTTTTATGGCGGCATTCAGTTACCATGGTTACGCATCTTTAGACATCTTACCTTGGTATCTTAAATCATTTGTAGCTCTGTCATTATTTGGTCTATAGAAATGATATTGGTACCAAATTAAACCTCGTTAAATTTCCAATAAAGTTCTGATATTCAATTATGCAAATTATCTAATTTGCATTAATTATGACGTCATCAATCTATTTTTGGTTCAGAATTTCCAACTATAGCAACGAATCTATTAGAACTGAGGCCGTATGGCAAAATTTCTGAAAGGTTTTGTCCTTTATTCTATTAGTAGAAGGTATAAGCAACATAAAAGTGAAAACAGATTCAAAATTGAATCAGTATTACGAAAGTTATGTAACTTTCGAGGCAGCTATCGTGAATGTCATTATTTGACAATAATATACATTACGTCTTACCTTGGAGTCTTGAATCAATGTAGCTTCGCCATTATTTGGTCTATAGAGATGATATTGGTATCTGATTAAACCTTACTAAATTTACTATATGGTTACAATATTAAGTTATGCAAATTAGCTAATTTGCATTAATTGTGACGTCATCAATCCATTTTTAGTTCAGAATATCCTAGTATAGCAACATATCTATTAGAACTGAGGCCGTATGACAGAATGTGTGCATAGTTTTGTCCCTTATTTGATGAGTGGAAGATATAAGCAACATTAAAGAGACAACAAATCTTCAAAATTGGATCAGAATTAACAAAATTATCCAGCTTTGGAGGCAGCTACTGTGAACGTCATTGTTTGACAATTATAAAAAGAATATTAAATTAACAAAAAAAGTAACAACCATAGTTGTTTCAATCTTATTGAGTAAAAATGTACATGTCTAGAACTGAACTAATAAGTATGTGGAAAGGTTACATGCATTTTGACTATCATTCACAGGGGTCAAAACGATTATCTCGACCCTGTATATTAAAGATCCAATCTTATAATTTACCATGCACTTTCAATGATTCATATAAATAGTATACATATAGTCTGATTTTCATCATATTCTTCATATTCTTGATTCTTAAAGCATCTGAAGTATATAGCATGATTAGAAGTGAAGATGATTCATCATATGGTTTATGTAATATTTCTAACATTTCAGATGCTATGGTAACATCACTTGATAATGAGGTTTTTACATTTCACATTCATAATGAGTTAAAAGGAAGTTATTCTTCCTTTGCTTTAGAGATAAATAGTCGCATGAATTTGTTTAGAAAAATTATAACTTAATTAATTTAACCCCCCCCCCCTGACAGCCCCCATATTTGAAGATTTTGGTGAAACCTGGCAAAATACATTAATTATTAGGTTTCAAAAGCCCCCAGAAGCTATATGATGGCCCCCAGTGGCCCCAAGAATTTATACAGGGGCACCAAGTGGCCCCCAGAAGCTATACTGTGCTCCCCAGAAGCTATATGTTGGCCCCCAGAAGCTAATTAGTGGCCCCCAGGAGCTATACTGTGGCTCCCAGAAGCTATACAGGAAACCCTGTGGCCCCCAGGAGCTATACGATGGCGCCCAGAAGCTATACGGGGGCCCCCAGAAGCTATACGGGGGCCCCCAGAAGCTATACTATGGCCCCAAGAAGCTATACAAGGGCCCCCAGAAACTATACTATGGTCTCCAGAAGCTATATGGTGGCCCCCAGTGGCCCTCGGAAGCTATATGATGGCCTCAAGAAGCTAATTAGTTGCCCCCAGGAGCTATACGGTGGCTCCCAGAAGCTATACAGGGGACCCCAGTGGCCCCAAGAAGCTAAACGATGGCCCCCAGAAGCTATACAGGAGCCCCAAAAAGCTACATGATGGCCCCCAGAATCTATATGGTGGCTCCCAATGGCTTCCAGAAGATGTGAAGGGCCCCCAGTAGCCCCTAGAAGCTATACGGTGGCCCCCAGTGGCCCTCATAGGCTATATGATGGCCCCCAGAAGCTAAATAGTGACCCTCAGGAGCTATATGGTGGTTCCCAGAAGCTACAAAATGGCCCCCAGAATCTATATGGTGGCCCCCAATGTCTCCCAGAAACTATAAAGGGCCCCCCAGTAGCCCCTAGAAGCTATACGGTGGCCCCCAGTGGCCCCGAAAGCTATATAGTGGCCCCCAGAAGCTATACAAGGGCCCACAGTGGCTCCCAGAAGCTATACGATAGCCCCCAGAAGCTATGCAAGGGCCTGCAGAAACTGTACTGTAGCCCCCAGAAGCTATATAGGGGCCCCCAGTGGCTCCTAGAAGCTATACTATGGCCCCCAGAAGCTATGCAAGGGCCCGCAGAAACTATACGGTAGCCCCCATAAGCTATACAATGGCCTCCAGAAGCTATACAGTGTCCCCCAATGGGCCACCATATAGCTTTGGGGGCCACCGTATAGCTTCTAGGGGCTACTGGGGGCCCTGTATATGCTTTTGGGGGCCATCATATAGATTCTTGGGGCCATCGTGTAGCTTCTGGGGGCTGCTGTATAGCTTCTGGGGGCCATCGTATAGCTTCTTGCGGCCACTGGGGTTCCCTGTATAGCTTCTGGGTGCCACCGAATAGCTCCTGGGGGCCACTAATTAGCTTCTGGGGGCCATCATATAGCTTCTGAGGGCCACTGGGGGCCACCATATAGCTTCTGGAGACCACAGTATAGTTTCTGTGGGCTCTTGTATAGCTTCTTGGGGCCATCGTATACCTTCTGGGGCGCACTTTGGGCCCCTGTATAGATTCTTGGGGCCACTGGGGGCCATCATATAGCTTCTGGGGGCTTCTGGAACATAATAATTAATGTATTTTGCCAGGTTTCATCAAAATCTTCAAATATGGGGGCTGTCAGGAGGGGGTTAAATTAAGTTATAATTTTTTTAAACAAATTCATGTGAGTATTTTTCTCTAAAGCAAAGGGAGAATAACTTTCTTTTAACTCATTAAGAACGTGAAATGTAAAAACCTCATTATCAAGTGATGTTACCATAGCATCTGAAATGTTAGAAATATTACATAAACCATATGATGAATCATCTTCACTTCTAATCATGCTTTATACTTCAGATGCTTTAAGAATCAAGAATATGAAGAATATGATGAAAATCAGACTATATGTATACTATTTATATGAATCATTGAAAGTGCATGGTAAATTATAAAATTGGATCTTTAATATACAGGGTTGAGATAATCGTTTTGACCCCTGTGAATGATAGTCAAAATACATGTAACCTTTCCACATACTTATTAGTTCAGTTCAATACATGCACATTTTTACTCAATAAGATTGAAACAACTATGGTTGTTACTTTTTTTGTTAATTTAATATTCTTTTTATAATTGTCAAACAATGACGTTCACAGTAGCTGCCTCCAAAGCTGGATAATTTTGTTAATTCTGATCCAATTTTGAAGATTTGTTGTCTCTTTAATGTTGCTTATATCTTCCACTCATCAAATAAGGGACAAAACTATGCACACATTCTGTCATAAGGCCTCAGTTCTAATAGATATGTTGCTATACTAGGATATTCTGAACCAAAAATGGATTGATGACGTCACAATTAATGCAAATTAGCTAATTTGCATAACTGAATATTGTAACCATATAGTAAATTTAATAAGGTTTAATCAGATACCAATATCATCTCTATAGACCAAATAATGGCGAAGCTACATTGATTCAAGACTCCAAGGTAAGACGTAATGTATATTATTGTCAAATAATGACATTCACGATAGCTGCCTCGAAAGTTACATAACTTTCGTAATACTGATTCAATTTTGAATCTGTTTTCACTTTTATGTTGCTTATACCTTCTACTAATAGAAAAAAGGACAAAACCTTTCAGAAATTTTGCCATACGGCCTCAGTTCTAATAGATACGTTGCTATAGTTGGAAATTCTGAACCAAAAATAGATTGATGACGTCATAATTTATGCAAATTAGATAATTTGCATAATTGAATATCGGAAATTTATTGGAAATTTAACGAGGTTCAATTTGGGACCAATATCATTTCTATAGACCAAATAATGACAGAGCTACAAATGATTTAAGATACCAAGGTAAGATGTCTAAAGATGCGTAACCATGGTAACTGAATGCCGCCATAAAAGTACTATGGGACATTAGTTGGCAATGTTAACAAATGAATTCATTAAATAGACACCCTAGGGATTACAAAAATGTATGTAACTTATTCACACCTTATGGGTGCATGGGAACCCCTTGTTCCTACTATACTAATGGTGATAATGCTTTAGTAACTGATTTCATTAGCTGTTGAATAACTTGCTAGTAGCAAACAGAAAGATGACAGAGCTGGTTGAGTTGGAATTTAGAAAAGATTAAGATTTTTCCTCAATATTGAGAGAAGGAATGATGGACAATTTCAAGTTCAATTTTTTTCAATTGAAGTCATACCACAGCAATGTTGTAAATACACTGTATATTCTTATTCCTTTTATAGTTCAGAAAATGATTTATCTCATGGTGAATATGATTCATCTCAAAGTAGATATGATTTATATCATAGAGGATATGATTTATCTCGAGGTGGATATGATTTACATTATAGTAGTATATATGATTGATCTCAAAAAATATATGATTTACATCATAGTGGATATAATTTATCTCAAGGTGGATATGATTTATCTCAAGGTGAATATGATTTACATTTTAGTAATGAATATGATTTATCTCAAAATAGATATGATTTACCTCAAAGTGGATATGATTCATCTTAAGGTGGATATGATTTACCTCATAGTGGATTAATTTATCTCAAGATGGATATGATTTTTGCATGATTAACATGGTGTATTGTGCCAATGGTGATGATTCTCACATCCATGCATAACAGTGATACCCGAGCACCTTATCCCTTTACCAAATAAGTGAACATATATGTGCGCCATGACAACTGTACATCAAACAAAACAAATATTTAAAAATCTCAAGCAAAATGAAAATGAATTCCTCCGTGATATAAATAATGACACAACGAGTATGTTTGATTTTAATTACACAGAGGGTGTTTGCTAGCTGGGGTACCCTGATAACACCACTTGGGGAAACCCATTTGCTTGCAAGGAAATGTATGAAACCACTTACTTTTTTCCCCATGTTAAATTCCTCGGGCTAGAATTGCATACAAAGATATATAATTCTAAGCTTGTAGAAAACATTCCTTTAAAGTAAAATTGATATATTCTCATATTTGAAGGACACATGCAAGAAAAAATAAATAGTAGCCATTCTAATGAAAAAAAGTCATTCAAATTATATATATACTCTCACGAGTCATGTATTTTCAAAGCTTGAATTTTAAACATTCCCTAAAAGAAATAATTAGACAAAAAGATGGAGCCACATACCTCTGCGATTGTGACGTGTACTATGAACATCTTGCCCTCAAAAGCAATTCTGTTGATGCTTGTCCTAAAAAATGATTTTTTTATAATAAATAATAATTTATGAAACAGAGAATACAAAGTGACAAAAAGTGCAGCCTACTTTTTTTGAATAACAATGATGATGAAATATTCTTGATTTTTCTGATATAGATACCTAGCAATCGATCAAAAATCACAAATAGAGTGGAGAATTAGCAACTACTTAGAAAGCCATACAATCTAAATCTTAGTTTTTTGCAGTTTTTCAATTTTTTAGCATGAAATCTTACAGAACTTCATTTCAACTTGCAGAAAGCAGAAACCTGCCCAGAATTCAAACTTCAACATGCAGAAAACTGGAATGCATGTTCAATGGCAAAAAGTGATGTACAGGGTGTCCGGAAAGTAAAGATACAAATACTCTAATTTTAAGTGATTTAGTTTTTTTGTAATGAAATCGCTACAGATTGTAGAGGTACTACATAACAATACATCTACCAACTTTTATATCATATAATCTAAATGTGTTAAAGTTACGGTTGTCATGGTTACGGTGGTGAGGGGTATGCGGAGCAGTTCCAGGATATTGCTGAATTGTGATCAATTGTTAAAATTTAACCATTTGAAATAGTGTTTATTATTGTATTTCTTATCAGTTTTTTGTTTTGTTCAATATTGTATTCTTGCTGCCATGGTATTCTCTTTAGTATAACGATATCATTGAGACAAATCAGAACTATGTAATGTCATAAGCATAATCAAAGAAAAAGAGTATATAAGTGCTAAGAAAAAGGGTCCCTGGATTAATAGGAAAGTCAATAGTGCACCTCCACAGTCAATGCTCCAATGCATAAAGCAAAGAAAACAAATCTTACAATTGAATGTCTTGACATTAACCTTTTTGTACAATGGCTCATATTTCCCTGATAATGTCCCATTGGACTTCTACAATAATGAATATGTTAAAGCAATATTTCCGAGAAGTTCAACATAAAAATGAGACTCGGCTGGAAGCCAATGTTATCAGCAATCTTAGAGACTGACAGCAAAGGTTTTGTCAGGTCTTTGAATCTTTGGTCAAAATGCACCAACAATGTTTAGATAAAGGTGGAAAATACATAATACTGGATAACAGTAGTAATGTCAAATGATGAAATAATGTTACAGTACTAATCCTTTTGCTTTTGTGGTACATAGTTTGATGCATAATAGCAACAGACGACGGAGTGCCAAGATGATATGAACAGGAGAAAAGAATTATAAAACATAATTGTGACGCTGCTCCACATACCCGTGACTCCTGTTACCATAACAACCATAACTTTTTTATTTTGAAACAATTTGTCATGGCAGTTGCAGCATAAATTGTTACAATGTCATTCTACAATCTGTAGCAATTTCATCTCACAATAAGTAAATCTAACGAAATTAGAGCATTTGTATCTTTACTTTCCGGACACCCTGTATGTATATCAAAAAAGTGACATTCTAATACCGACATATTCAATATTACTGACAGATTAGATCCATAAATAACATCAAAGATGTTGCCATTTTACTCCAGTGTAAATCTTGACTTACCACTTGAAGAGATGAGTCCTCCTATTACCTTGGAAGGTCACAATGCCAAGATGGGTGACCCCCAAGTACATCTGGTTCCCTTTCTGATCCTAAAATAAAACATCACATTGTTGAACATTTATATTATTACATCAAGACTGCATCCTATCAACTGACCCTGATTCAGATTCATTCTCTATTATATTAACATTGGATTGATTTAATAAGGTATGTGGACGGGCATAGGGATTTCATATTAGCCTGATCCATTAGTATAGTAGTGTTTAGCATGTAGCATTATTTTTAGAAACAGTTCCTGGGTTGATATAGGCAGCACTTTTTACTTAAAACGACATTTGTTAGAACATTAAATTTTAAGACCGCTTTCTAAATTATTTTAAAATGACAATTATTGATTTGTGTATATCAAAAATTAGAACAACTCAGTATGAAATCATAAAACTACCTTATCCTTTTGCTAAATGCATATTACATACCCAATCCATTCATGCTTTCATAAAGTTTTTAGTAGACATTAATAGGGATAAAATTCTGAAATATTATCGAATAGCACCATATTTATAAAAATCTAGCCAAAAAGATTAATAGAAAAGAGAGAGACAGAAAAATGATGAAAGAAGATGTGCAAAGAGAAATTTGACAATAATATATACATATGAAAGGTCACTATTCCATACAATGAATTACAACTAAATCTACCTTATTCTTTTTGGTATGCTCCTAATTTGTGATTCATAACATATACAACTATATAGCTTCAAAATCTTCTGTATATTTTACAGGGGCTTGGTCAATATTTTGATGTTGTTACACAATTCAATTCCAGACTGAGCCATTTTTTCCTTCAAAAATGGAACTGAATGTTCATTGATTGTGTAACTTTGATTCAAGTTACAAGTTGCTTGAATTCAAATTTCAAAATGAAAATATGTGATGGACTTCAACCCCCTCCCAAAAGTAATGAAATACATGGCCATACATCGACATATTGACCTAGCCCCAGTTCATATATAATACACACATCAGAAATTTCGTGCTTAAATTTTGACAAGCTAGAGAAGAATAGCAAAAAATTACACAAAAAAACTAATTTAATATATTATAATCTAAGCACTTTCCATATAGATATCAACCTTATTTTATCCAAAATGTGCCAACAATGTGTTGACCTAAAAATAACTATTTTGATGAAGATAAATCTTTCCATATTTTCAGACACATCAATCAATCTCACAAGTAATTTTCATTCTGTTATTAATAAGAGTACGTTATTTTACCTTGACGGGGTGAGGGTCGACGCCATATGTGTCAAGGGTGGCAGCTTTGATCAGGAACTTCTCCTCAGCAACTGATGGGACAATTTCTTGACTCCTATAAAATTGGCATAAATGGATTTTTATTTTCTGTATACAATAAATATTCCCCGGATATTAAATTAGATTTCAGGCTTCAGCACTCTATGAATATTTCAAGTGAAACAAGGCATTAACATGGAAGATGTCACCACCTGCCATTTGACACAGACACTAGCCACTGAATGCCAACCATCAATTGCCAACTGCCAAACATTGTCCAAAAAGTGGAGACTATAACAATATATTACCACTTCTGGTGGTGTCATAAAAAGCAGAGTGAAATGTCAGTAATCTGATTGGATGATGACTTACTGGAAACCTTTGTGGATTTCTGCAATCTTTTCCTCCATTTTTTCAGTCTGCTTGGGCAGCATCTTGAATTCACTGACATACTCGGGAGGGTGATCCTCTGGGTCATAATCGCCAACTTCCGCTGTAAGTAAATAAACCATGAGAGTAAAGTCATTAAGGTAAGGTAAACTTCATTATTCAAGAAACTTTGCTCTGCCAGTTTTTCAAATAATTGAAGTACAAAATTACATTAACATTATTAAAATTCACAGCCTGGTAAGTTATCACAAATGGTTACAAGTATAAGTAAGTAACAATATATTACAGATACATGCTGCTGAATGCAGTTGTCTATGTTTTCATCAGTCAGTGTAAGATTGACCATTGGGTGAATATGATCATCTTCGCTCAGACAGTTTCCACTATATTAAGACGACCGAGGAAGATGCAATAGCATATTAACAAGCAGAATACTTTAGGCATCTCTGTGTTAATATGTCACTCCTTGGTACAACATAGTTATAGAATATGTACTTAAGTCTACCTGACTATTTCTCTCAAGTTTCTTAAGATCAAATTCTATAATATGTTGCCATGGTTACAGATATTTTTGTCTAAAATGTGGAGTCTAACATTGTCTTTAGATTTTCACAGTATGAATTTCAAGTCAACCTGATTATTACCTTCTCAAGTTCTATACATTAGTTATCACTATCCATTGCCATGGTGACAGATGTTAGTTGACATTAATCTGTTCAAACATTTAACATACAATCTAAATTTAACATAATAATATATGTTCAAAGTAAGTCAATCTGAATATTAAATGAAGTCCATATTCAATCCCTCAAGTAAATATCCCAAATCAACAAATACATGTTATTCAAAACAAAAAAGAAGATATCCGAAACTGTTCAAAATATCCCTTGTTGTTGTTGTTTTTATTAACTAAGTCCATATTCAATCCCTAAAGTAAATATCCCAAATCAACAAATACATGTTATTCAAAACAAAAAAGAAGATATCTGAAACTGTTCAAAATATCCCTATCTTTTGATATTTACAACTGGATTCATAACAAGGTCCAACTTGTAGTAATGCTGAACTTCTCAAATGATTGCAGACTACATTGCTTCAATGCTCAGTAGGTCACTGAGTATACATCTACTTCCTAGAATGCCTTTAGGGGATTGGTAGTATAGTGCCGTGAATTCAGATTAATAATGTAAATGTAAACACTATTATAAATTTGATATGTAACATCTCTACTTGCAATTAGGCCTAATTAATTAGTAATTGAACATTGGCACATGGACCTTTCAATTCATTGAACAGGAAGATCTAACCATGATAGCCAATTATTGATATGAAAAAGGAAATTTGGCAAATGAATGTCAGCCATGACATTTGTGATGTCACAGATGATGTCATAATGCCAATTACTGATTAGCACAGAAATTGTAGAACTAGCAAAAACTGACCAGATTTTCATGTTTGGCCTCCAGAGGTATTTTCATTATACCAATTATAGTGCCAATTATATGATGTCCTTAACAAGTGCGTGATACAGGGGTTGCCATTTTAGTAAAGGGTGTAAATACGTTTCTGTGCTTGATACAGGGTATATTTAATGGAAAAGGTTAAATTATGATATTGAATTATTGGTGTCTATCATATATTTAAGAACTGCCATCTATATATGAATATAAAGTTTAAATAACTAACGTGAACAAAAGATTAATGAGATTCTGATTGTTTTGTTCTGAGAATGCTGCTGCCATCTTTGAATAAACTCTAAATTATCAATGATATAATTATAATCTATTGTGATAACGAACACCTCCCAATCTGAATGTTTTTAACTGCACGGTGGCATTTGGATTAGACAGGTTTTACTGTATGAGTAATAGTAATACTGAAATTAAAAAAAATCTGAAGGCCTAGTCAATCTATTTTGGGAAATATTCTCAGCTATTTGAAATGAAGATCAACTTTGTAAGAAGTCTCTATAATTATTTTTTTAATTTATACAATAACATTATACTCAACTTTAGTTCAAATTCCAATGCTCTGGCCTTGGCTAATCAAAACAGTTCATTGCAATTGATTCATCAATTATTATATTATTATATTAATATATCATAATTATTTCACATGCAAATACTGTACTGCCACTAATATTTGATGCTGTTATCTTTCACAATTTTGCAATTTTGAAATTTTGCGGATATCAATTTTCGCTAATTATAAATTTTTTATAATTTTGTATCTATTTCTTTCACCATCATATCATTTCTCAAAAAAATTTCCAGCTTATTTGATTAAATGTTTTTAAAACCAAGAAATATGAATGAAAGAGTACCTTCTTACCTTTAATTATTGCTATACCATGTACTTAAAGCCTTTACATGACACCTATCAGCTATCACCTGCTTCAAAAGCATAGGTGAAACTAAACTATTGAAATCAAGTGCTCACTTTAAATTTTTTTTATATTTTCTGTTTGGGAAAATCTGTTAGTTATCAGCTGCATTTTTGTCAGTCAAGATTTCTCTTCATCAAACCAAATCAAATCCAAGGAATGTTTAGTCAAATATCCAGTTGTTCAGGAATCGAACTCAATTCAAAGAATGATTAGTTCCATAGTGTAAACATATACAACTTTGAACAATATTGGTATCAGCCATTATGTTACATTAAAAAAAAAGAATGTAAAACTGTAAAAGACTTTCATGTAAGAAGGAAATTTCTTGAAAGAATACTAAAGGTTTCGCAACAGAATTTAGACGGTCATATGTTGAATTGCAGAAATTTTCTGAAAATGTAAGGTGTGTATGTTAGGCCAATGCATTATCTAAAGGAAAAGTACTCATACAGATGATAAAAAAATTGGAGATTGAGACAGGGAAGGTGCAAAGACCCCATCAACATTTTTTTTCAAAAATGTTTTCCTGATTTTCAGTTCCTTCCATTTTTTTTATAATGTTTTCACATTAATATGTTGCATTTGTAGACAAAGTTAACATACTAAAGAGAAAATATTTTCCTTTTAAGAGTTTATTTGTGTCTCCAAATGCAACATACTGATGCATAAAACATTTATAAAAATTGAGTAGAAGGGGAAATTTTAAATTCAACAAACATATAGGCCCACTGAGCATTTATTTTGCACAGGGCCTTTATTAGAAAGAACTCAAAATAAATGCCATTGGCTTTTATTAAGACTAAGAGGGAAATTGAAAACATTTTTCCAAGGGGACAGGCATTTATTAAGAGGGAAAATAGCTTTCCCAAGCCAGTGGGTGTTTATTTCGAGGCGTATTATCAATCAAAGAGTTGACACATGGCCTTCATATACTCATGCAATAGTATCTATCATCTCTGATTGCACACTTCTGTTTTATCTTTCAAGCATTCGATTTGGATTTTGGAATGTCATAAAGCTATGCGGTCAAAAGTAATCTTAATACTTTTTAGTGAAAATGCATTTATATTTTTAAAATGCAGAATCTTGCGAATGCAAAATCCTCGAAATCCGATCACCTCCACATCTGAATGTTTTTTTTTAACTGGTCATGGTGGCATTTGGAGTAGACAGATATTACTGTATAAGTATTAGACAGATATTACTGTATAAGTATAATAGTATTACTGGAATTCCAAAAAATCATAACGCCTACAATGCTAGTAATATTAAGTGAAAATGCATTAATATTTTTTCAAAATCAAGAATCTTTAGGATGCAAAAACCTCGAAATCAGACGTTTAAATCTGAATGTTTTTAATTTGTAGCGGTGGCATTTGGATAAGACAGGTTTTACTGTATAAGTATAATAGACATTAATAGTATTACTGGAATTCAAAAAAATCATAAGGCCTATAGCAACAATCATGTGAACTTCAGGTCAAAATTCCAATGCTCCCTTGGCCAATCAAATCAGTTCATTGCATTTGTTTCATCAATGCTCTCAATATCATAATTATTCCACATGCAAATACTGTACTACCGGTTAATTTGCGAGTTTAAATTTCATGAATTTTGAGAAATACCAATTTTGCGGCCATTAAATTTTGCGGATATCAAAGGTTTAACTTCCATTATTCTCTGAATCCTCAAAATTAATTTATCTTATCTACAGTAATTACACCTACCCAATATCATATACTTTGGATAAGATTTACAATCTCTAGATCTTAGTCAATGGCATGTTGCACCTCAGCCTTTAATTGGCGATATTCGCGACTATTAATTTTCGTGATTTTTACACAATCGCGAAAAGCACGAAACTAAATTGCACGTGAAAAATATCGGGAGTACAGTACATTGAAACCATACACTCTTATATTTCATAAGAATTTGCAATCAAGCCTAACAAATCTATTGGCAAAATATTAGAAGGCCAGCAAATGTACACATGCTAAAGTGATGAAACTTTAATGAATTTTAATTTTGCCTATACTGAGATGTGTTAAACTCTATTTGGGTTAGATTTATTCGGCTACACCCTCTACTTACAGCCTTAACATGCCCCCTATCGGCTATCACCCGCTTCAAAATCATAACAGGTTCCTTTATATCTTCCTTTATCTTCTGTTTAAGAAAAGCTGTTAGCTATCAGCTGTATTTTTGTCAATCAAGATTTCTCTTCATCTGTGAATTACCCAGCGAGAAACCAAAATGGCAATTTTGATGGAAAGACACAAAGTACCAGTCAAAATCTCTGAAGTTTTCCGGGCAAACAATGGCAGCTCTCCCAGTTAGGTTTTAGACTGTCTTCTCATATTTTGTCAATTTTATTCAATTTCAAGTATTGTTTAGAGTTGTGCGTTCAACATATTCGAGAAGTCAATAGCTATAATAAATCTGCAGATTTTGCTCGCATTTATGTAAGCTTTTCTCTTTTGACGGATACTTTGTGTCTTTCCTTGAAATCATGACAGGTGTAACTGATCTACTGAAATCAACTTCAAGTGCTTACTACTATCTCCCAATGTGAGCTAGATCTACATCAGTGCTTTTTGTTGAGAAAATATGTAAGTTATTAGCCGCTTTTTTGCCGATCAGGATTTAAATTCTCTTTATCTGTCATGTACCTAGCAAGATTCAGAGATTTTACTTGTACGTCATGTCTTTCCGTCAAAACTTCCATTTTTGGTTTCTTGGTAAAGAGTAGCTTCTCAATGTATAATGAGAATTTGCTGTTCGGCACAGAAGCACCTTTTAATTTTTTTCGATTTTCGCAAGGAGGACACTAACACAATTTTGAAGCGGTTGATAGGGGGCTCTAAAGGCTGTTCTAACATATCAGTCACAGCCTCTGAAAGAGCTAGATCTAAGGCTCTAGCTTTAGGCTAGTCTAAGTCCTATAGATCTAGTACTAGAGTCATAGCCCGGCATAGGCCCGTAAAAATGTAAAGAAATAAAGCTTACAGCATGTTCTATTTAAGTGAATTTGACTCATGTTATACATGTTCCGGGCCTATGCCTAGTATAGTCCCGCAGGACGAAGAAGATAGAATGTAAAAATCAAATTGAAAATCAAAATAATCGAACGAAAAAAAATTGAAAAAGTTGAAAATTCGATTTCGATTCAATTTGATTTTCTGCCATTATAAATGAAATACTGTACTTACCAACATGTTTCTCGGATATATATGTTGTTCTTACTTTATCGTCGCCGAAGATCGATGTTTATTTATATATAACAATCGAATAATCGACATAATTCAAACTCATCACTACGACACAAAAATATATCACTTTCGAAACCATGTAAACTGCTAAGATGACGTCATTTATATCCGGGATTGCTTTGCAAACTCCACACAACAGACTGTCCCATCTTTTCTCCTGCTTTCTCCCGATGCAATTCATACATTACTCGGAGATTACTGTCAAACGTTCCAAGTTTTACAATTTTAGCATGTTTATTACGATCTAATTCCTGCCAGTATCAATGAATAAATCTATTGACCAACAGATTGGAAATATGTATTCCAGCGATACCCTCATTTTGACGAAAGAATGGTACAAATATGTCCACTATTTATCGAGATATCGTGTAGAAAAATTGAAGAAAGACATCGCTTAAGAAATTTCTATTTCTAGACTGACCTGTTCACGCTCGCAAGTGGCATCTCCAACTCCATATATGGGCAAAAAGGTGGAGTTAACAATAAGCAATGCAGGGATTGACACGATTGACACGAAGAAGTCTCGATGAATCTCGCTTAAACTCCGCCCCTTCTTCGTGAAAAATCACGTGAATTCCGGCTTTTGCTGGGACATATCCGGGCATCTCGGCTTCGAACCCAATCAGAAGTTTCAATTTTGACTGGCGCCGCATACATTATCTCAAGTCTCACCCAATATTTTTATGTATACGTTAATAATGGTGTTATACTGTTAGCTATGTTCAACCTATATATATCCCTGTCATATATGATGCGATGAGTTTTCCTTGAGAGAAGCTATGATCCTACTACCAGGCCCGTAGCCAGGGGGGAGGGGTTTGATGGGTTCGAGCAAACCCCCCCCTGGCCAAAAATTCTTTCAAAATCATGCAGTTTTTCATCATTCTGGGCATTTTTTAAGTGATTTTGGCCATTTTTGTACCCAAATTGTCAAAAGTGAACCCCCCTGGAATTTTTCAAAAAGTGAACAAAAAAGTTGGCAAATCCTGACTACGGGCCTGTACTACTGACACTGTAACATATCATATTCACTTTCATTCCTCTCACTTTTCTGCAAGTTGATATGATGAATTCAGCGAGTAAAATTGGAGAATGAATTCTGCAAGGTAAAAAGCAAATTCTGCAGATTTCTTGCTATCTTCACATGAAAATTGAGACAGATATGCTGAATTGATGATAAAATATCGTGACAGATACATACAGTCATGGAAGCATGCTGCCATCTTGAAAAAATGTAAATTTATTTTTTGTTTTTGGCCATTTGCGTGACTTCCATGAATTTGATTGAATGCAAAAAGTAAAATCTTAGCCTAGCTAGTAAGGCTGATTATTTAAAGTTACAGAAAATATGTCAATGCCATGTGAAATTTTGCAGAAATTGATCGGATTACAAGATTCTGCAATCTGGAAATCCAAGCTGAGAAAATGCCTGCAGAATTGGCCCCTTTTCCATTCCATCCATGTTCCACGCATACAAAATCCTTGAAACAGAGCAATATACCATAGAATACTTACACTGAAACATATTCTATTGTATAGAATACTTACACTGTAATATATAAGCAGCTAATAAATTGGCATCAGCGGGAGAACAGAGCAGTCTTCCGTGTTGCAGATCACGACGTAACTGTAGAAACAGGAAGTACCTGAAAGACAGAAATAAGACGTTTTAATTTAAGAAAATACACAATATTGCTATTACAGAAATCAAGCTTTTTTCAAGGTGTGATTCTATTTTCATTGTATGTAATGTGCGGGTTATTTTGAGAAAAAGTGATCAATAATAGACTATAAGCTATAAAATCAATGAAAGATAGTCAAATTCGATGTTAAATAGTATATAGGAACACCTTTCTGTAGGATTATACATTTAAACAAATGTTTCAAACAGTGTTAATATCCTACAAAAGATGAATAATCAGACAAAATATAAACAAAAATAACGACCTCAATATCAATACACTGTACATATATAACATGAAATAAATATAAATACTCGGACGTTCAAGGGCATATGATTAAGTACATGATCAACTATTTTCATCGCCATCATCTGATGTAAAGCCTGATCGATGAGAGACTTATTTTTATAGTTTCATAGTTTACAACGACCTCTAGGTCGGTCAATATACCTAACTTTAATCAGCATATACAAATTAATAAATCAATAGCTACTAAGGAAAAACTGTGTGAAGTCAAGTTTAATCAGCCTTATATCACTCGTATCCATTAAGCCATTCCTCAGTAATGAACTACACAGGCACTGCAGTGTAATAGGAGATGGGTAATCTCGATTTCAGATTGGTTATTATTATATTTAATTATTGTAAATGACATCTTCAGAAGTAACATCAATGTTCTCCCAGTTCTTCCTTCAAAATTGAGCTAAAAGCTTCAAATCAAAAGCATTTAAAAGTACCTTTGTTCTTCTACCCAAATGGTTCTACTTTTTATTGGTTATGGGGAGGGGGTTAAAGCATCTACTGAATCTACCTGATCTATGGTTTGACACACTGATGAAGGCACTTAACACATTGAAAAGGTACTAAACACAATAAACTAAAAGCATTATCTCGATAAATCGTTAATATGTTTGATTCAGGTAATGCTATGTACGTATATATAAAACAAGACCCTTTACACAAAAAGAATAATTGCTACCATGGGATAAAATACCCGACATCTGTTTGCCAATTTTTCAAAATATGAATGGTCTGAACGTTGTTTTTTCTGAGTTAATCACATTTAAATAACAATGAGAATGGTATGCACCTGCTCTCATTCCCTTGATATAAACAGCACTATTTATCATAGGCAACATTACATGGCACAATTATTTACTGAATATGTCACACAGCTAGCTGATATAATAATAAAAGATTAACTAACGAACAATAACATTATGCTGTCTTGGGACAATAGGGGCACTTTAATGTTTTGAGATACATATGAGCCAGGCCACAGGAAAAGGGGTCTTATCACAGATTTTTTCAATATTATGATTTTTTGTTTATCTTAAAAAGCACAAAGAAACCTTTCAAATGAGCCATGGCTTATGTCCTAACAATTTTCCTTGCATATATAGACCAAAAAGTTGGATCTGAATTTAGCACATTTTCCTCTTAATCGTGGGCACATTTTTGACTCTGTAGCACAATTTTAATTTTGTGATAAGACCGGTTCTCTATGGCCAGGCTCATATACATTGCAAGCATCTATTTCTATTTATTTTTAAAAGACCATATGATAAACAATGCATTAACATACAAAATATCACCATCTGTCATTTGTTACAGACACTGACCACTGAACACTTGTATCAACCATTGAACACCTTCCACAAAACAGTTGGAGACTATAACAATCCACGTAAGCATGTCTTGTTGTTATTCAAATTATTGGAATCTAATCCTGAAATCCATCTTCATTTTTAAATAGTGACTGTGGACTGAATTTGAATATGTTTCAAACACTTGTATTTCTACCATTCTCCAACACAGGGTCTGCGTCAGAATCATAAGAATGTGGGGGAGTTAACTAGTGCCTAGTGTTAGACCAAGCAGCTAAAGTGGCAGAGTCAAAACTAAGGCCTACAACTTTTTAAGTGAGATCTACAAATGGCCATTTACAAGCTACATGATACAGATAGTAATAATAAAAAGGATTGGGTCTATCTTGCCCCAAAGATCTGTCAGTCAAAATAAAGATGTTACCATACCGGACGCAATCACTGGGCTCACATAGTTAAACCTTACCTTGTAATTTCCTCCTTCAGTTTCATTGGATCAGGAGGGTAGAATTTCACCCGAAAACACATCACCATGGGATGAACATCTGGAGACAAAAGAAAATAAGGCATTAACATGATATCAACACCTTGTAAGTTATTGCAAATTGTTAGACGCCAAACTCTAAATGTATACTGTCGGATGCCGAACACCATCCACAAAAAGTTGGAGACTACATGTATAACAATATGTCTGGTGGTAGAATTTCACCCGAAAACACATCACCATGGGATGAACATCTAGAGATAACAGAAAAATAAGGCATTAACATGATGTCACCACCTTGTAAGTTATTGCAAATTGTTAGACACCAAACTCTGAATGTATACTGTCGGATGCCGAACACCATTCACAAAAAAGTTGGAGACTACATGTATAACAATATGTCTGGTGGTAGAATTTCACATGAAAACACATCACCATGGGATGAACATCTGGAGATAACAGAAAACAAGGCATAACATGATGTCACCACCTTGTAAGTTATTGCAAATTGTTAGACACCAAACTCTGAATGTATACTGTTGGATGCTGAACACCATCCACAAAAAGTTGGAGACTACATGTATAACAATATGTCTGGTGGTAGAATTTCACATGAAAACACATCACCATGGGATGAACATCTGGAGATAACAGAAAACAAGGCATAACATGATGTCACCACCTTGTAAGTTATTGCAAATTGTTAGACACCAAACTCTAAATGTATACTGTTGGATGCTGAACACCATCCACAAAAAAGTTGGAGACTTAAAGAATATGTCTGGAGGTGACATAAAAACTGGTATTGCTCTTTGATCAATTAGCACTCTAGTCATTAGTTATTTAACAACACACATAAGTGTTTTTTCTTTCTAAAACAAAATAACATGAGAAATAAAATCATGTTTTAATCATAACAAAAAGTGGAACATATCCAATATATTTTTATTTTTTGAAAATTCTGTATCAAGACCCCATACCCCATTCCCTCTCGATGAGAGAGGGAATGGGGGTATGTTAAGGGTTTGATGCAAGAATACAAGAGGGTGAAAAATATGATCTCCCACCAATAACTTCCATAACTGCTTGGTCTGACTTTGTGATTTTCTTTTCAATTGGATATTTAATATTTGAAATTAAGATTTTTACATTTTGAAAACTATTTCAGGAAAACAAGCAAACGTTGATCTGGGTTGTCATCATATGATACTTTTGTTGTATACCCAACAACATTGGCAATCATTGAATTTTGCAACCCAAAACAATAATGTTAATAAAAAGATTACATTATATTAGAAAATAATTAGTATTTACTTACTTTTTAATTGTTTATGGACAGATTTCAATGGATTCAGCCAATGCTGCAAAAATAAAACAAATCAATCAAAATTTTCATTATAATATTGTATGCTTATAACTATTATATTTTTATAACATTTCTGAGACTCAGCATGATATAAAATAAGTATACAAAATCAGATATTCATGATTGTTATAGTGATCGTTTGTTATATCAAGGATATTTTGTGACCTGTATAGATTGGAATGACGAGTGGGAATCGTGACAACTGCACCCCTTTGTTTTGACTCTTCAAAGTCCCTAGCATATACAGATAAGAGGAGGTCTAGTAAAACAGAATGACAAGTGTGTTGTTTCCTACTCTTTATAATATTCAGGAGCTTTTGCATGATCAGGGATTGTCCTAATTTATATTGTTCTAATGGGACAAATTCTAAAAGTAAGATTTGAAGTAATACTAGTATATCAATGAATACCAACAAATTGAAGCTTAAGCTATCTTAAGTACTATCTTAATAGTACTTCAGCACAATGATTGGAAAGAATTGCTAGAATATCTAATTCAATTCTCACTGCCAGAGAGCAAAAAATACATGAATGTCCCGAGGGATCATGCCACAGATGATCCAAGACTATAAATATCCCTATTAACTAAAATATGCTAATAGAATAGAACATTTCAGGAGAAGCTGATATACTGACAGCTAACAGCTAATTTCCTATAGCCCTTAACAACCTGATTGTATATCCCCATTTTACGATTGATTTTACCATATATTTTGTTATATAACTCCAGGAATACCATATTTGATCAATCAAGAATTTATTTGTTCTAATTACAGATTTTCTATAATCTGTGAATTGATATGGGGAGGACTCTGTAGTAATTTTGATGTAAGAGACAGTGAAAGGAGCTAAATATTCAAATCAGCAGACCCAATGGACAAGACAAGAATAGCTATTGATTTTTACAGACAATTTCAGAAGCTTGTAATCATTTAATAGTCAGTGCATGTAGAATCTCAGTCAGATGTCAGCATTCAGGCAAATTGATTCAGGCAAATTTTTATCCCCAAATTTCTCAAAGTGTACAAGATTGACCAATAGAGCACCTCAGAGTTCATCTATGCTATTTATGAAAAAGTTAATGCTTTGATCATATTTAAAGAAAATCATGAAAATAATGATTTTGCCAAAAAAAGCCAATATTGATTTTGCACTCAAACTGGAACAAATATAGAATATCATTTCTGTTGACAAGTTGATAACAAATATTAACACGAGGCAATAAAATAATATCACTAGAATGATCTGATAGTGGGTTTATCCCATGATAACAATCAATGATTCAAAAAAATGAAATCCGTTTATCGTACAGATATGCCAATGATAAATGATATCAGCTCTATGTGCAGCTGATGAATGATATCAGCTCTATGTGCAGCTGATAAATGATATCAGCTCTATGTGCAGTTGATAAATGATATCAGCTCTATGTGCAGCTGATGAATGATATCAGCTCTATGTGCAGCTGATGAATGATATCAGCTCTATGTGCAGCTGATGAATGATATCAGCTCTATGTGCAGCTGATGAATGATATCAGCTCTATGTGCAGCTGATGAATGATATCAGCTCTATGTGCAGCTGATGAATGATATCAGCTCTATGTGCAGCTGATGAATGATATCAGCTCTATGTGCAGCTGATGAATGATATCAGCTCTATGTGCAGCTGATGAATGATATCAGCTCTATGTGCAGCTGATGAATGATATCAGCTCTATGTGCAGCTGATAAATGATATCAGCTCTATGTGCAGCTGATAAATGATATCAGCTCTATGTGCAGCTGATATTGATCAGCCATATATGAGGCTGATATCACTGAAATATCACTGAAAAAATGATTTTCTCAAAAATATCAGATGGACCTTCGTAATATCAGAAATATAACTGGCTGTTATTGTACAGATAATAATATCTAAACTATTGATCTACATGTAGGACATAGTTAAATTGTTAAAAATGTAAATGTGTATTCTCTCCTTACAAATTCTATCCTATTTAAGAATAATATATCAATTATGCAAGGGATGTAAGGTCTGATCTATATATTCTTCATGAATAATGTTTCCTTTAACAATCTACCAGCTTGATATATTTGTGTTATTTATCATGTGTTGTTCTATTCTTTCTTACATGCTTCGAACTATGAATAATATATTATGTTATCCTCAAGGTAACATGCTATGTGCCTTAAGGACACACTCGTTTACCAGTTTGATTTTCAATCATCTTCATATCTTGGGAATCCAAGATGCCTTAAGGATATTAACTGGTGATTGAAAAAGGCAAACACCAACTTATAGATTTAATAAATTCTTTTTTATACTTCTTATTTTCAAAGGGCATAACAACTCTGAACTGGGCCGGGATGAACTTTTCATTGGAAGAAATGACAAAATACCATGACATACTCCCCAAATTCACACTTTGAAATCATGGTAGTCTGTACAGTACATTAAGAGTATGGTAGCGCATGGTACTGTTTAAGTATGGTATTGTTCAAGTATGGTACTGTTCAATTATGGTATGTACAGTACCACATTTTACAATCCCATACAGTACCATTGCCAAAAAAGTACCATACTGTACTGTTAGAGATAGGCTGTGTAGTTCTTGAACATTTCTGGAACCCCCCAGGTCAGGTTCCTACCAGGTTCCAGAAAATAACATGAACATAAATATTTTAAGTAATACATTTTAAAAACTATAAAGGATAGATCAAAACAGTTGACAATTACTATACTGTTCATAATTAAGCTGATTATTAATCCATTTTCCTCGAAATAACCATGCTTTTCATTCATAAATCTAATTACCCATCAGGTCTGGGACTTATCTATTGATTTCTATAATTAAAATTGAGGACCACAAATTGTGTAAACCTTTAGAGACTTGATGTTAAAATAATTTCCAGTCTTTTGAGCAAACCTGAAAATTGATCTGAGCCTATAAGCACTATAGGTTAGATATTGGTTTCAAACTTAGTGAGCCCGTTCCAATAGTTGATTTTGATTGATTTAGATACTTAAAAGTGAGCTTCGTATACAACCTAATCCTATAAACTAGGTTCTGACACTTACAATAAATTGAACGCAGGGTAATTATTTAATTCTGAACAAAGTAATTTCAAATTCTATATGGAAACAGTGCCCACTTGGTTTAATGCTGAATATCCAGTATAAATAGAGGTTATTCACTAGGAGGGCTTGAATTATTTTGAGAGACAATTTGATATTTCTTCTGGTACTTGGAAAATATCATATTGTCACAAGGAATAAACTCATATTAAATCCCATTAAGTAAATAAAATAGCTTTTTATCTTATGATATTGATGACTTTTTTGTTGCATAGAGAAAATAGAACTCTTGTGAATGCTACAAGTACAGGTGCATTCCATACTTAGTAATGTTATAGGTCAATCAGATCATCAGATCTACGGTCCCTCCAGTTGATGTATTGTATCTCCCTCAGATATTCCCTGTATCAAAAACTTCCCATTAAACAACCTCTATATACTATATATAATTATATGTATTACACACCTACGAAGCATTTGTATGGAAGTCAATGGGAAAGTTAGCAGGCATATATTCACCGATATTGCCTGATTACCTCGATATACAGGGTGTTTCATAATGACCGTCCCCCCATCCACAGGCAATCCTAGATCCCCTGGCCCCATAATTCATATACCATTATAAAGCTAATTTAATTCTGGACTTATGTGCCAAATATTAGCATGCCTAGCCTTTGGGAACATAATTTGTGAAATTATATTTGATAGTCACTATCCCCTCAATTTGCATGATTTCTGGCTACTATTCCTGGTGGATTTGAAGACAGGAGCGAATCGCTATATAATCAATTGTATCATCTAGTGCTCTCTGGCCATTTCTTTGAAATATTCAATACTTTGTCTTTCAAATATAATTAAGATATAAACCCAGCATTCACCAAATGATAGAAGTTGTACATTACTATAGCTAATAGTGTATTGAGGCGTGATTATCATAGCTGTTTGCAGGGCACATGGATTATTTTGGAAAAAATGTGGCTTTCAGATTCTCTCCTAAAGGTAAAATGGGTACCTTTTGCAGAGATATGTAGCAACAAGTAAAAACTGTTGAGCTTCATCAAAGTTGTTTCAATAAGTCCAGAATTGAACAAGCTTTCATATGATATATAACATATGGGGGTATGCTATTTAGGATTGGTGGTTGATGGGGGGACAGTCATTATGAAACACCCTGTAGACCCCTAACCTCGTTTTGACATTAGATTCTTTAATAGTCCATGACAATATCATGACATTGTGTTTCATTTAGATCAAATTCTACTTTCACACAGATATGTGACACCATTGATACAAAGTTGCCATAGAAAAGGTATATAATACATCAGTTATGTCATTTTGATGCAAAAAATGCCTTCGTTCTTGCCCAAATATAGAGCCTCCCAAGGTTGGCCTATATTGGGAGAACTCAGGCATATTTCCCGTCATAGTGACATAACCTCTAAATACTTACTCTTTGTTTCTCATCATCCACATATCGAAGTCCAAAGTAGTCTTTCTCCACAAGGTTGAGATACTTGCAGACATGGTCCAACAACTCCTGACCCTTTGTTTCTTTCTGCAAAAACAAAAACATAATTGATGTTAACCTTCTTAGAATATGATAACTCATCAAATGGCTATAGCCTCGGGTATGGTGATATATTGTATACTAGACAAAATTATGCAATACCAGTAGGTGTTCACCTATTTGGTTGGCAAGGTAACTAAAAAACCTACATATGGAAGAATGAAAGAAGATACAATATCGCAAAATACCACTGAAGACATGGTTTACAATTGTTACTTTATTAGTTTGCATGGCGAAACATTCGGAATTCAGATTCAACTTAGTTAATAGCTGAAATTGTTGGTTTATCAAAAAATTTCGAAACAAATGCAGGACATATACACAAATTTCAAAGCAAATGCGTCACATAAAAATTTCCGGTGGAATTTCCAAATGAAATGTGTTACTTTTTTCGATATTCATTTTTTTATGTATCGGCGTTCATTTTCTAGTTCTTTGACAGAAATATTTTTGCTTGACAATTATCAGGTAAAATGCGTATTCTGTCATGCAACAAAAGCTGGTTTGACTTCAGTTTCTTCAGCAAATGCGTGACAAATTGCGGGACAGTTGGATGGCCTGGATTAGTATTGAGTGTAGAACTGTATTATATTCCTTTTTATACTCAAGAACAGACTTAAACTACTCATATACTGTTTACTTAGATAAGATACATTATCAAAATCCTTTTGCCCACAAGTATTATTATAGCATCAAACAATTGAATGATCTAAGACACTCAAAGGTTGGCAACATCATTACACATAGTCATGATTCACATACTAAACTTGATATCAAAATAGTCAAAAGTTTCCTGGGAATCTCATTGCCGAATAAATATTGAACGGTCATTTTAAAGATTTCACTTGACCTTAATATTTGATTGGTTTATAATAAAACCTATCAGATCTAATTGCCGTAAAAATTGTCTTCCTTTTTATTTGAGGTTATAAAAAGGCATTATTTGGACCTCATATTGGGAAATATTCCTTGATTTCAGGAAACATTTTGGCCCCTTTTGTCAACTTCCGGGTCTGCCCATTCTGATTTATCAGATTCTCTAAAGCTGTCAGAGTCAGACTACTCAAATGAATAGTAGTGGCTGTGGATCTTACGTTGTGATCCACCCCTGAGGTAAATTCTGGTTAGCGTGATCCTCTCTAATAGTTGCCAGTGAATGATAATGCCATATCTGATTTCTAGATAAGGTGTATTGTGGCTTAACTAATAACTAATGATTATTATTTTAGAGTTAATAATATTTTGACCAAAGGGTCATATGATATTGAGTGCATACAATGCATCAATAAGATATTATTTAATAGCATATTGTCCAAGGATAAAGTCAGTATTCAATCCCTTCAGAAATAGCCTGTTTATTTCATAACAAATCAAATGTTCTTTGATGTATCATTGAGAAAATTCCCAAGGAACCAAAACCAGTGAATACGATCCGAATACGAGTATGATTCTTTAAGTCAAAGCAATTCAATTACGGTACATATTTTCCCTGGAAAAAGTAAGTATGCATGAAATAATAATGACCTTTATCTTGTAGTTGTAGAACATATCATGTTCATTGACATCCTTCTGATGTTGGGCAACATTAAACATACTGAAATCGACCGACAACTTCCTTTGTCTAAACTCTTTCTGTGTTGGCTCTGATAATGTCATCTTGATAAAGGTTAATGCTATCGATAATAACGATGGAAAAGTTTATGTTGAATAATCCAATATGATCTAAGACTGATGGGATCAGTCTGATTTCTTCTTGGGAGTATATGTGCCACTTTTCACTTGAGAACACTACGAGAAAAGTTATTTATCTTATAACGGTTGCTGTCTCAGTACTAATCCATGATTATTTATCAAATGAAAACCATTCTGTTTCTCCTAGAAGTGTTATTCTGTCTGATATTGTCTCTAGAGGTGATGTTAGTAACCTAGTCAGTCTGGTCTTTCCTCTACATATTGTCACTATGATTGTCCTTGTAATTGAATTGTCTATCTAAGACTCTCTGGTTTGTCACTTGATTGAGTTAATGTAATGACAGGAATTTTTTATGAGTGTGAAACATATGACAATATGCCTTTATGCAAGCATATTTATCTGACATATTTTCCAAATTAATCTATGCACCATCCTTTAATAGACAATATATGAAACATTATCTTAATATATCCATATAATATCTAATATCCAGTTTTATTTCCTTTACTCAGTATACCTATCACACACATTAATCCTCAAATTGTATCACTTCATGTTTATGTTAGGTTCACCTCATCTACTGGGACTTCCATTCCACATCTATCATGTTAATCTGAGAATCACTCTTAGATTCAAGGCATGTTTTTACACCAGTATAATCAAACTGTATCGCATCCTTCGTTAGTTCAAGAGGCACCTTTACAATGTGTCAATCTTTAATTCAAAGTTCAGTCAATGCTAAGGTTCATATTGTATTTACGTTGTCTATCAGTCTGATAGTTCCCCTGGATTAGAGAGTGATAGCAGGCAGGGTGACACGAGGATAAAATCACAATCCTAGATTAGTATGTAACTACCACAATCCTAGATTAGTGTGTAACTACAATAGACTCATCTGTGTTTCTATAATATTCATGATACTAGCTTATGCAGCTCATATATATTACCTGCCAGATTATCCTGCAGATGAGGCCAACTAATAGAGATAAGTTCAACTCACATATGATATATGTAAATTATATAAAGATAAGCTTAACTCTACGATATATGTACATACGCTCAACTGTATACAATATATGTACACAAGCTTAACTCTATACAATATATGTAGATCAGCTCAACTCTATATAATATATGTAAATAAGCTGAACTCTATACAGTTTATAAATATAAGCTCAGCTGTATACAATATTTGTAGATAAGCTCAACTGTACATAATATATATAGATAAGCTCAACTCTATATAATATTTGTAGTTTGTAGATAAGCTCAACTCTATACAATATATGTAGATCAGCTCAACTGTATACAATATATGTAGATAAGCTCAACTCTATACAATATATACAGATAAGCTCAACTGTATACAATATATGTAGATCAGCTCAACTCTATATAACATATGTAGATAAGCTCAACTCTATACAATATATACAGATAAGCTCAACTGTATACAATATATGTAGATAAGCTCAACTCTATATAATATTTGTAGATAAGCTCAACTCTATACAATATATGTAGATCAGCTCAACTGTATACAATATATGTAGATAAGCTCAACTCTATACAATATATACAGATAAGCTCAACTGTATACAATATATGTAGATCAGCTCAACTCTATATAACATATGTAGATAAGCTCAACTCTATACAATATATACAGATAAGCTCAACTGTATACAATATATGTAGATGAGCTCAACTCTATAATATATGTAGATCAGCTCAACTCTATATAATATTTGTAGATAAGCTCAACTCTATATATGTAGATAAGGTATGAAGCTCTTATTAAGCTCAACTCAAAGTCAAATGAACTAATTCAACTCTGCTCAATATGGTGAACCAAATGAGCCAGCAGTCATACTTCTGTGGTAAAGTGTCACTTAATCCAGATTCACGAGACTTTAATAGGGAAGCAATTCCCTAATATAATTGACACTAAATATTCCCTGCATTCACGACATCCACGTAAAGTGATATTTTCACAAGGAAACTGTAATCCTTTTAGATTCCAACAATCTTACTTCTGTTCTGTTCAGTTCTGTTCTTAATGTTCTCATTCACAAAATCCAGTTCCAGATCAACACCATACAAACATTCATCGATCCAAAAGCCGTAGTATTACAATCCATTTACTTTCACTAATTATATTTTCTACTTCATGAATATTCATTGGAATCATTAATTGCCATGAACTTCAGTTGTATAACAACAATGAACTTACGGATAAACCAGTGATAACAATAAGAACAACGGTTCAATAATCTGGTATTAAACTATGTCGTTAACGTTACAAATCATGCAACTATTGTTTAGCTCAACTTTGATTCTGGTGACCCTGTTTCAAATAGTACCATGCTTCCCTGCTTTTTTCACCAATAGAAAACTACTGTTTAATATTCCAGATCAATGTTTCTTCAGTTTTTTGGTAATGGAGTTTGAGGTTTTCCATAAATCGACCTTGATTCTATCGACCCTTTCAGTAACTCAGTTTTTAACATACAAACAACAATTAAATAACCATCTGCTGATCCAAATAAATGTCTTTTACGTTATTGCTTTCTCATTTACTCAGAGCGTTATAAATTCTCCATTAATACACATTTGTTTCCCCTATTCTAGCTTTCTTATTCTGCAAGTCTACTTTAGTCAAAGTATGTCCAACTTCTTCTACTATAACCGTCTTATTGTCTCACAATCCTCTGATATGTTCAAGTGAATGTATATGACTGACTCTACCGTACTTCACCTCGATATACTTGATCTTGGATACAAGTTTCACACATTTGAGGGGGTGGACAAATGATCACTTTAAAAGGAGGCTGCATCAATGTTGAGAAATAGAACTAAATCGTTCCATCACTACAGTATCGTAACTACTCTTTTTCGCCAACAAAGAGAAAGTATTTCAATATTCTTATGCAATACACATTCCATTTGTTTTGTATTTTGTGTTATTTCTTTAAAATGCATTGATCTTGATTTTAAAGCATTTTTCTGAAAACATATTGATTGGCTTAGCAAAATGTCACGTCATCTGTTCATTAACAATTTTTAACAAGAATGGGATTCCTATAATCACTTTCAAATTAGATCATGAGAAATTCAATGACCTGTCTGCATTGAAAACATTAAATACAAACACGCCAATCAGAATATTGATTAACTAAGAAGTTTACTCATCCTTACATAAAAAAGAATTATTCAAATCTGATGTAAGATGATAACTCTAAACAAAGTTTACCAGTATTCAGTCACTTTCATTAAATTTTACTGCACAAATATG